ATACTCCATTTGTATATAAAAAATGTGTCCTACACTTAGTGGTGTAGTGCCAAAGGAACCAATGCTGCTAAAACTAATGTTGTTGTTGCTACTAGAGCCAATTTTGCTTGTAAAAATGGTGGAATTACCAAAGTCGTAAGCATGTTGTAGTAGCAAGCTTTTGGAGGCCACACAATCATTGTCTTTGGGCTCCTCTAAGTTGCTAAAGTTGTTTTCCTCAAGCAGCATTAAGCTCTCAATGCATTTATTATCATTGAAAAGGTTTTTGGAAATTTCATTTAGACCTTCTTTATTTGCCTCCAAGATGCTTCCAACCACTAGTGAGTTGCTATTGTTAGCATCACCACTATTTTCCTCCACACTCACACCATGTGCTTTGTTGAGGTTGTCATGCAGAGTGACAAGTTCTTCCACCACCTTCTCAACCTAGCAATAAAGTAGTGGATGACATTGATGTGGCAAGTTTGTGTTATATAAATAGTTTTTTTATAATACAAACATGCATATAACATGCTTAAAATAAAGTAGCAATGCACAAAGGGTGTAATGTTACTTTAGAACACAATCAATCTGAGAATAAGTCATGTCTTCTTCATAGTGTAAATTTATCTATCCACTTTAGATAGACACTTTCAAATGCTACCAGATATACTTGAGCCTGAAAAGAAAAAGGTATCAAGTCCTAGGAGACAAAAAGAGGCACAATCACCAAAGTGGCTGTGGATTTGAAAGTCAATAACAAACCAAAACTGAAACCATAATACTGAAGGCTGTGATTGTACGCTTCATAGCTTATAAAACTTTGTAAATCCTTGTAATGAAGAAAATTTTTACCAATCCTTAGAAAGGGCAAGATTATTTACAAACAAGAGAGCAACATCCACAAAGTGGAGAGCATTGTCCTGTGAGGATAAAAAGAGCTCAAATCAAAATCATCAATCTTTGGAAGCTAAACTTTACGATTATTAAACAAAGTTTTTCGTAATCATATTCATACAATTCATTAATCTGGATCTTAATTTGCTCTCCAGCTGCTATTGGGGATGCCCCCCTAGAGCAAAGACACTAAGACCAGCTGAATAGTGAAAGTACCTGGATGATATAACACATGATAAACACCTTTAATGATAAGTTATGTAATAAATATAAAAGATATATAATAACTTCTATAAGTTATCATGTTAACCCAAGCCTATCTTGGTTGATCTAAACTCATTACTCTGAAAGCATGTATACATGAGTGCAATCACCTAAGGATTGTCACCCCGGGCTGTAGGGAAAAATTTGTGTCAATCCTTGACATGGGGATCTCAATCAGAGATTCCAAATTGATGCCTAAAGTACAAATAGAATAAAGGGTACAAAACGGTGAAGTTAAATCATGACTCAAAACTTACTTTGATAGTCTTGGTTCTATGAAAACAATAAAACTTTTTTCTTGCTCAACAGAGAAGCATAAATGTTAGACAAGCTTAAGCTTCTCTTCTACCACAAGTTAATGCAAAATATATTTAATAAACAATGCTCATGATACCTTCTTGTTGTAACATTGGTCCCATCTAAATCCCATCTACCAGTTGAGTTACTTTGAGAGTTTGCCTAGTTTGGACCACACTAAAGACTTATAAAGTGGAAAAGTAGTGATGCGCAAGCTGGCTGGCTTTGAAAGCGTGCCAACTTAAACTACACTAACAACTTAGAGAATGAAGGAAGTAAGATGCCTAAACTAGATTTACTTCTACAAAATGCAATGGGGGCAACTTATCATTAGCAACATATCTCTCTCTCTCTCTCTCTCTCTAAATTGGTTCTGTCTTGACCTGCAAACCAGTCCAATCCACATCGCTGCGACCATGCCTCTGAACAAAATGAGTACAGCACTTTGTAGCTCCTGTGAGAAAAAGAAAAGAAAACATATATACCAGCAAGCGACTATCTTTATTCGTCATCACAATGTGCTGAAAAACTGCATGTTGGGGTTGATTCATCTTGTGCCATATCTTGGTTGCCTGCACAAGAAAAAGAAAAAAACGATATTTGGAAGCCATGAATGAAAAGTGCCGCTAGAGTCGCGCCTGAAATATACTCTACCTGTAAGACCGATGCAGCGCGCCATGGCAAAGCGATTGTTGATCCTGACGGTACAATGCTCATCTAGAGGTCCCTTTAGATCCCTTTTTGTCTCCTTTTTCTCCCCGCAGGACGAGAGAAACCCTAGAGAGCGATGTTGAAAGCAGCAAAGCGCGAGAAGGTGTCACAGGATGTGGAAGGCCCCTACTGTAAGATCGGTGTGTCGTGTATGCAGGGATGGCGCTGGTTCATGGAGGATGCTCACGCCGTCCTTGCCGACCTTGACACTAGAGGTATGGCATACGTGGGAGTCTTCGATTCCCACATCTCTCCAAGAGCAGCCCAGTTCTGCGCCCAAAACATGCATGCTCGCGTCCTAGATCGCTCTTCTCCCGATGATCTCGACCTCGTCCTCCACAAGTCCTTCATGGACATGGATCGGGATTTCCGGGGCACCATAAAGGACCCATCGAATCCAGACTCGGTGTTTCGTGCCGGGGGCTGCACGGCCACGGTGCTGCTGCTGAGCGACCGCGGCACAAAGGTGACGGTGGCAGGTGTGGGCGATTGCCGGTGCGTGGCTTCCAGGGCCGGGATGGCGGAAGAGCTGAGCCGGGATCACAAACCGGACCTCCCTGACGAGAGAGAGCGCATCGAGGCCGCGGGTGGCAGCGTTACTTTCGGACGGCTCAAGGATCTCAACGTGAGCAGGGGCATCGGGGACTACCGCCTCAAGATCCCGGTCGACCTTCCGCCCGAGAGGCAGCAGCTGAGCGCAGCACCGGAGATCAGGGAGGCGAAGGTGGTTGGTGATCCGGGGATTGAGTTTGTGGTGGTTGCGTCGGATGGTGTTTGGGAGTGCCGATCCAGCCAGGAGGTGGTGGACTTTGTGCGTGGCAAGCTGATGGAGAGTGAGAGCCAAGGAGGGCCATTGGTATCAAGGATTTGCGAGGAGCTTATGGATTCTTGTGTTAAGGCTAAGAATCCCAAGGATAAGGACGAGCCAGGGACAACGGACAATATAACTATGGCCATCCTCGTTCCAGTGCCAGCACGCGTTTGAGCTTATAAACCAAAGTGGGGAATGGGGAAATCGTGCTTTGTATCTCGCGCTCCAACACTGAATTTTTTTAGGAAACTGAAAACCTTGTAAGCAAATAGGAGTCGGGTATATTTATTATATCTCATATATTATAACAAACACTGTTGTGAATATATAATATAACTTTCAGAGAGGTATTAAATTAATAAGAATATGCTTAAAATTATGGACAAATAAATTGTCAATAATAAAGGAATTTAAGAATTTTTTGATAACATCAAAGAGAATAAAGTTTAAAATAGGCATAGTCACAAGTATTAAACTCTTTTAGTTTGGCTAGTCTTGAGAAAATATATGGCTTTAAGCATTTTGTTATTGATTTTATCCAGATTAGTTAATGCACCTGAAATCGGTTTTAGACCAGAGGATACAGATCTTATAAATTCAAATACTACAACTAGGATTATATCAAATTTACTTTTAATAATAAATGTCAGAGTTCCTCGTCATGCAACACTGCCAGTAGGTCAAGGTATAGTAGGTAGAATAAATTTGAATGATGAAATATATGGTAGAATAACTGTGTATGTACAAATATGGCTTTACAGTCGTGAGAGAGGGAAAAGCTATAGGCATTGTTCTGTTAATCCTACTGGAGAGCGTGTTAACACTAATGAAATGTTACGAGACTTGGTTAACTTAATAATGTATTATCGCCCTGCTCTTATAAGTTTAGGTTCTAGATTGATCGCTATAACATCAGGGATTTATGGTATTTATTACTGGGTTAGAAATACAAATTTACCTCATTCTATAAAATCTAGCTTTAGACCATCAAATCAGCTTAACAATTTTAATGATTGTCATATTTCCTTGAGTACATTAATTAGCTTTACACTTTATAATACTTTATTAGAATTTCAATTTATAACATCTCCAAATAGAAAAGCACACCTTTATTTACATCCTAACTGCAAATTAGAATTATATATCGGAAATGAATCAAAGTGGTTCATATCAAGAAATGATATCAATTGTTATCTTATATTACAAGACGATGGTAATCTCGTTTTATATAATGTAAATAAGAAAGCTGTGTGGTCACCAAATAAGTAAATATCCAGCCAAATTGTGTCATGAATACTTATCTTTCTTTACAAAATAATTGTAATCTAATTTTGTACCAAAATAACCAGGATATATTTTCTAAAGTACCAAGAGTTAAAACCCTTTGGTCAACTGATACATTTTGTAATTGAAACAACAAAAGGAAGGGTTTGTATAAACTGTTTATTGAATGTCATAGTGTTATGTTTATTTAATAATCCAATTGATCAAATGCAAATTTAAAATTATAGAAATTAACTGATGGTAGAATATACTAGGAAGTGTTTGAATAACAACCGTTAGATAGTAAAATATTCTAAAATTTCCAAGCATATTCACTAACAAATGAAAAATTTTAAACTAAATATTGTAATTAATTTTTTAATTAAAAAATTAAGATCACTGAAGGTCATGGTGACTCAGGTTCAAATCTAATTTCAGGCTCTTGAGTTGGGATCACTTAATATTCTTAATGTATTCTAAAGAATATTATTCATACTGCCTTGCACTTTAGAAACAATTCGTATCCTTCACTTATGAAATCACTGTTCAAATGCAGAATAAACATGCTTGACACTGGCGATTCAGCTTCCCTCCTGTGTACACTCAACCAAGCCACAGCAGCAGCAGCAGGGAAAGAGATTAACTTTGGAGCCACAAGGATTGCAAGCGCCGAGTACGTCATCCTTGCCCAGTGGAGATCGCGGCCCAGAAAGCTTGAGCTGTTGGTGTAAACGAAGATGGCTGCTTGAAGCTATGAGAGGATTGCGCCTGTAGCCAGGGCCGAGAATTACTTCGACGAGTCACTCCAACGTCGTTATATTTTTCCGTTTGTTCTATGCATTAATATTAGCTAGCAGTCAACACGCTGACCGACAACAGTTTCTTCATGAGAAGCACCTCTTGCATTGCGCGCCTCCTTTTCTCACCTTGCAAAGTTTCTGATAAAATGATCGAGCCTTCCCTTTTATGTGGTTGTTTCGTCCAAGAAACAATGCTCGTCCTCAAGGATCTCCATTTTAAATCTGTGCTTGTCTTCGTCATTCACTGGATCTTACGGGTTGAGTCGCATTACGCGGTAACACAATACAAAAGAAAAACAGACACCGAAAAAAAGAGAAAGAAGAACTCACCATGTGGTGCCTTTTGCAGACGAAGAACTGGATTAGCCACGGAGGAGACCTGGGAAATCGACGCTATGCAGCGAGCGAGCACAAGATCAACTTAGAAACCGCACCTTCGCTCGCTCTCCGGTGGAGATATGTCACTCAGGGAGATGTCTCGGCCACACCGGCGATTCACGACTGCGCGGTGTATGTACCAAGCTGGAACGGCATCGTGGCTGCAGTGGCCATGGACGGGGCTACGCTGTGGCAAACCAACTTGTCGCAAGTCACAAGCTTGCACCCGGCCGTGTCGAGAGCAACGCCAGTGGTAACCAAGCGATGTGTGTTAGTCGGCCTTCGCGGACCTGCGAGAGTTCTTTGCCTGGATCGAATGACCGGAGATCTCTTGTGGATGTCACAGGACCTGGAACTGGCACCACACTCAATGATCACAATGTCAGGAACGGCGTACGATGGGTACGTAAGAAGAGCTACTTACTGTTTCGAGGATTTCCGAGTCACAGCAGCCGCTTTGGTGCCTGCTTTGCAGAGCTTACTACGTAGGAGTGTCGTCCATGCAGCAGCACGCGAAATCATGTTGCACCTTCCAAGGCTCCTTCCACAAACTGGACCTCCAAACTGGCCAAACGGTGTGGTCGACGTACATGGTTCCTCGGGACAGCCAGTACACGGGAGTACCAGTGTGGGGAAGCAGTCCTGCCTTGGACGAGCGCAGAGGCCTCGTCTACATCTCTACCGGGAGCGTTTTCTCTGTCCCTTCAGAAGTCCGGCAGTGCCAGCAAGCCACCGGAAACTCGAGCAGCTGCATCGTGCCCAGCGTCTGCTACAATTCCGTCGTCGCTGTTGACACGAGAGACGGAACTATCCGGTGGTGCAGTAGGATGACGATGAGCGAGATCTGGGAGAACGCCTGCCGGAGCATTCGTCCTCCACCAAACTGTCCTCCACGGCCAGATCCAGACGCTGACTTTGGAGAAAGCCCCATGCTCGTCACCATTCAGCAACAAGGAGCATTGAGAGATGTTGTCGTCACTGGACAGAAGACTGGCTTCGTGTGGGCTCACGACCGAGAAACTGGAGAGCTCGTCTGGCATGCGGTACTGAAAAGCTTTTGCCTTCGTAGTAGTGAACTTTGATCGTTGTAGGTGGCTGGACCCGGCGGAAGCGGAGGTGGAGCGAACTGGGGATCAGCAACGGACAACTCTCGAGTCTTCACAAACATCGCCAACAGTGACCGCCAATCTTTCCTCCACGAGCCATCGCAGCTTGTAACCACGGGAGGTGGCTGGGTTGCGATGGCTGCTACAACTGGACGCTTGCTCTGGTCCACTCCCAATCCAACCGGCCAGCCAGCCTACGGTCCCGTCACTTACACACACGGAGGTGTTCTTCTGTGCACGTCCTTCGACAGCAATGGCCATGTCTATGCCATCAACTCCTACAGCGGAGAAATAATCTGGAACGCTACCACTGGCTCGACTGTTTACGGAGGCTTCTCAGTTGGTTGCGGCTGTGCCTTTGTCGGAGCAGGCTATGCTTCGACACCAACGGGCCTGGCTCTTGGAGGCACTCCTGGAGATTCACTGTTCGCCTTTTGTGTCCCTCCCTACTAGTACTTCGTTTTGATGAGAAGTTCCAAGGGGAGCTTCGGGAAAAGAAAACGAGCTCACTTGTCATCACCAGTAGTCCTTGCAAGAACACCCACCCGTTGCAAACGTATGAAACCGATTTGCGTCTCTGACCACGATTTCCCGATTGGAGATAGTCGATATGTACTTGAAAGCTGTGTGACAGTCGGAACACATCCGGAGATTGTTGACAACGCACAGACTCGTACCAGGAGGTGTGTTTATCAGACCGTAAACAACTGCCAGCCTTTCACTGTGGTGGAAAAGCGTTGCTTGCTTCGTTTCCTCGTCCACATTATGTAGCACCAAGCTTGTGTCTGGCACATAACCGGCTTCCTTGATCTCCAGCGTCAACTTCCTCAGCTCTTCGTAGATCAAGTCCTTCTGTGGATGAGATTTATTGGCAGCACCAAACTCGTGTAGCCTGTTTTTCACTTCTATGCAGCTCAGGCCCGGTTCCTTCTTCACACCTCGCCTTTCCATGAGTCGCCTCACCTTCTTAACATCGTCCCACCTTTCGAGAGCAGCGTAGAGGTTTGACATGAGAAGATAAGCGGAAGGACGTGTCGGCTCAATCTCGTAGCACTTCTCCGCAGCAATCTCGGCCCGTAGGACATCTTTCTGCAGTCTACAGGCACTAAGCATTGTTAGCCATGCTGTTAAGCCTGGCTCGAACGGCATAGTGTCGATCACTTCCTGCGCCTCCTCAAGCCTGCCTCCCCGTCCTAGAAGATCAATGACACACCTGAAGTGCTCTGGCAGCGGGAAGAATCCATGATCTGCCATTGCTATGAAGCAGTCCCGAGCCTCGTCCAGATATCCCGAGTGGCTGCATGCGAAAACCAAGCTCAGGAACGTCACGTTGTTGGGCTTGATTCCTTCCAGCTCCATTCTTCTCATCAAGTCCTTGGACTCCTCGATATGTCCGTGCTGAGCTGATCCTGCCACTATAGCCGTCCATGCTACCACGTCCATTCCTTCCATCTGATCGAACACCTCTCTTGCCTCCACCAGCTTCCCGCACTTTGCATACATGTTGACGAGTGCTGTTGCCACGATAAGTTCCCTGTCCAGTCCATTCGCCACCAAGTTTTGGTGGATCACTCTTCCCAGTGCCAGTGCCGAGGTACTCGCGCACGCTTCCAGAACACTTATGAACGTAGCCGAGCCAGTCTTGACGCCTTCCTGCTGCATTCTCTGGAAAATCTCGAGAGCCTCCTTCCCATACCCATCTTGAGCGTAGGCCGTAACGATAGCATTCCAGGTGATAGCATCCTTACAAGGAATCCTCTCAAATACCAACCTCGCGTTTCCCAAGCTGTGGCACCTCCCATACATATTGACGAGCGACGTCCCAACAACAGTCTCGGCTTCCAGGCCAACTTTCTCCACCATCTTGTGAATTGCGATGCCTTGCTCGAGAGCACCAAGCGTGGAGCAAGCACTGATCACGGTGCTGTACGTAAACTTGTCCGGAGGGACCTGGGAATCCATCATCTGGAAAAGAGACAGTGCCTCCGACTCATGCCCATTCTGGGCATACGCTGCCAGGATGATATTCCAAGAGAAAAGGTTCTTCCTGGAGATCCCATCAAACACGGCCCTCGCATTTTCCAAGCTGCCACACTTCCCATACATCTCCACCAGCAAGTTCGCAATAAACCTCTCGTTGGACCGGTTGCTGAGGAGAATGTGAGCGTGGACTCGCCTCCCCTCGTCCAAAGCTCTGAGACTCCCACACTTCTTGAGCAGTGCTGCGTATTCGTCACCGCTGACTTGGTCTGTGTAGTCCAATCTATCTACTAGCTGCTTCAAATCTCGACGACCGGTAGCTGAAGAAGAAGAGGAAGCAGAAGCTCGCGGAAGAGAAGAGTCGAAGCTTTCTTGTTGCATTTGACGCCTGCTGGAAGCCTCTGAATCCGACGTCCAAGAGGGTCTGGAGCGCTTTGTGATCCTGTTCCTTTTGCTGATTCCTGAGTCATTATCACCACCACTTCCATCTGCCCATGCCCACCACGACTGTCCATCCGATTCCATGCGTGCCATCCAGCTCAAGCTGTTGTCGGAGAGAGATTCCACCACACCATCATCGAGCTTGAGAAAATCTCTCGGAGGCAATGCTGAAGAACCTGCTGTAACAGCACTTATCCCCGACTGGAGGAGTCCCGGAAACTGAGAGGCCGCGCTTTCCATTGCGGAAGAAGCTCGAGCTTAGCAAACAAACAAACAAACAAAAAAACAAAAACAAAGTTTGTGCAAGTTTCCAACTAAATTTTTGCAGCGTACCTCGTGGCCACGAATCCAAAACATTTTTAAAGCGTCGATCAAATCCCTGTGTACCACCGGATGCATCAAAGTCAGAGGAAGCAATACTGCCAGTACCCGTGTAACACCGACTTAGCAAAGTATGAAGGAACACGAGAAGGATCGCGAGAGAAAAAAAAGAATCGTGTGATTGTTATCGTATATCTGGAGTGGATTTCCTTACTGTTACACACAGCTACCGTGCTTGAAATGGTGCTTGTGACAAATCCACTGCTTTCTCCAGCAACTGCGCAAATTTTCAGTCAGCTTCTAGCAAGAAAAAGAAAAGCATGGGAGAAACCTTGCTCAGAGATTTGAGCTCGCGGAAAATCGGTTGCAACGCTTTGGTATTGACTGTGGGAGGCTTCACATCGATCGGCCACACCTGGAACAAAAAAAAAAGAAAAAAAAAAAACGTGATTGTAGCTCTCGGAGAATGAAATGGCTCGAAATCTTACTAGAAACATCACACCTGGATTCCAAGAACTTTAACAGGCTTGACGAGGCCAGGGATGATGCAATCCGGGCCTGCCGCCTCCACCATAGCCTCCTCTGCTAATCCCATGCCAATTGGATCCGGATGCTGGAGATTCTCGAGTTACAAGACGAATGCGGCCCAATCCCGGGGTTTACCTTCATGATGCTGAGGGCGTAGTCGAAATTCCTGCTTTTGCTGACGATGATCGCGCTTGGAGGAGAAATTCGAGGCAGCGGAGGCTCACCGGGGCGCGACCGCCATGGCGCGTCTCCGGCGAGCTGCTTCTTCGTCGTCTTCTTGCTTGACGAGCTCGTCATCGCCATAGCCAAAGAAGATTCCAGGCTCTCCCCAAGCCCTAAGTTTACGTGCGCATCGCCACCGTCGGCTTGGTAGAGAATATGGACCGTCCGATTTGAACGGTCAAGTGGAAAACAAAATGGTTTTTTGTCAATTATTTTCGCAAATTTACAAGACAAACTCTTCCTTCCGCAGCGTCATCTCGAAGCGAACGATCTGCAAGAACAGTAAGAGCAGTGAAAAAGCTTGTTCTTGCAAGAGATGGAGATGGAGAGAAGAAACTATGAAACGAAAGAGTTCCGGAACTTACGATCCAAACGAAACCGAAAACGTCGGCCTCAATGTCCTTGGCGCATCGCCCTGGAGCTTCTCCGAGATTTGCTGTAGTTCCTGAGAACCCAAACAGTTTATAGAACTTGAAAAACAGCGAGAAACCACCTTCAATCCGCTGCTTGTCGACGCCAAAGACGAGGCCGAGGACGAAGATTTCGACGAGGAAGCCAAGGATGACGACGATGGGCTTCCGGACTTTAGCAGCGGAGGTTTCGGGGCCTGGAATGCACACAAGGTTGTAGAGGAAAATGACAAGTATCGAAAAGCTGTACCTGTTGTAAGAGATCTAGCTTGCGCTTGGATTCCAGCAAGCCGGGGCGTCCGTGCTCCAAGTCTTGCACGTACTGACACAGCAACAGAATTCCTCTGTTGGCAAAATCTTGCTTGGATTGAACTTCGCCAATCTTCGATTCCTAAACCCACAAGAACACATTCACTCCCGCATATCCTCGGCAAAATCAAGCACATACCAAGCCTTCGACCATTTGCTGGACAACCTGGACGTCGCCACCGCATTTTACGACGTCGCTTCTCATGTCAAGAACCTGGAAACTATCGAAGATAAGCGAAATGACGGAAAGGTATCAGTGTCAGTACCTGATTCTTTATAACACCTTGGACTTCGGCACTATCTTCTAAGGCTTTTGATACATCTTCTATTCGCATCGACAGGTGCCTTCGAGTTGCCTGAGTTTCACATATAGCGGGATGAGGAAAAAGCATACAGAAGACATTACCGCAAGCACTGCCGAGACTTGATCGAACTGCTTCGAAACCTCCGAAACAGCATTTGCCATATGACGCTTCGTAACATAGAGAAAGTCGGTTAGACGCCATCCCTGCAGCTTCCAAAGCTTAGAATTCGCAACACTCGCATTTAAACTTACCCGCCACCGAAAGTATCCATATCCCGCAGCGCCAACAACAACCGCGGGCATTGCGAGGGAGGAGATGTTTGCTCCTGTCAAGAACTCGAATTAGGACGACTGGCCCGAGAAAAATCAATCCCACATACCACTGCCGCTTCCAGAACTTCCATTTATAAATGTGACATCTTTAGAGGCCGCTAACTGCATGAGTTCCTGCCTTAGTCTCATGAGCTGCAGGGAGCGAGACGAAGTGAGCTTGAGGAAAAAAAGAAAATTTCAATCGCTAACCTGTCCAGCCAATTCGGTAGTTTTGTCTGAAACCTTCGCAGACACATCCCCGTCCTCTAGATGCTTGGAGATGACCTAAACGCGAGAAAACTTCTATCAATCTCCTCAAAACTATCTGGAATGATCGTCTACCTTGGAGAGGTCTGAGATGAAGTCCGTGAGGCGGCCATTATTCACAAGGAACGTTCCCGTCAGTCCTGCAAGAATCACCGCGTGAGAAGGCGGCGCCGAGCTCGATTGAATCGCGCGCTTACCGGCACCAACGAGAATCAGCACCTTGACGGTCGAGACGCCGGCCTGGAGCGCCATCGCGAGCTGGAATCAAAGCAGAGACCCAGGCATTACGCCCAAAATCTGGCACAAACCCTAGTAGCAGAGTTCCAAGCCCTAGAAAATGTTTTAACAGTACCCTTAGAACATTAGCCTTTAGTCAAACAAAAGCTAAATTCATTCTTCTTCTCTGGTCAACGAAAGTCAAAGGAAGGTTTGACCATCCTTGTTGTGCACGACAAGCGATGGAGTTCATCCATTACCTCACACACCTACACGCGAAAAGAAAAGAAACTAAAACTTTTAGTGAAGTGACCAACAACCTCCCTCGAGCTCTCTCGCGTGATCAATCCAGCAGAGAATTTCCCCCCATTCTCCTCTTCCACCATCGCCTCTCTTTCTTCTCCGCCATGGAATCGCTCATCGCAATCATCCCGGCATTGCTTATCCTTTTGCAGCGAAGCAGCGCTCAGATCCCTTGCGCGCCTCCATCCACGTCAATTTGCCCCGGGAGCTCCTGCTGTGGAAAGAATGGCTACTGCGGGATTGGAGAGAGCTACTGCGGCATTGGCAATTGCCTCTCACAGTGTCCGCTCGCGTACTATCCCCCGCCGGAGCTCCCCGCGGGAGGCTACTACTACTACTATCCTCCGCCAGAGTTTCCAGTGGAGGAGACGATTGAGCCGGTCGACCGCGGCCACCATAGCATAGCGTGGTGGCTCGGGATAATTGCCGCGGTGGCTGTGGTAGTAGTAGGGATCCTCGCGGTTTGCTGGCTGGTAACTCGCTCTGTCTCCAGGCATCGCAAGTGTGAGTGTGATTCGTGATCTTTCCCTCAACTTTCTTCGCATGATCTCTTCCCCGATGAGAGTGATGCCTGTAAGTAATTTGGCTCTCCAAGGAGATAAGTTGCGACATTCTTCACGACATTTCGGGGTCGTGTTCTTATCTTGTCATGGATTCAAAGCAAAGTTTTCTTTTTCTTTCTCTCTCGCTTGCGTGCCGATCTAGAGCTTTGATGTTAGAGTTTTACGAGCCAGGCAAGCCTGGATAGATCCGTGAGGTTCACTCGTTGGGAGGTAGACGTCGTGATCAAACTGCAGATGGATGGAAGCGAGAAATTTCAGAGGAGAAATGGGGACAAAAAGTACCTTCACACCAACAGTGGGCATGTTGACAGGCAAAAAATGGAGATTTGGCATGTTTAATTCGATCGAGCTGACTTCCGGGACACTGAAAGCTTAAAGAGTGACAGAAAGAAACAAGCATGAATTATATACTCGAACCTTCGCAACACCTCTTGTGCCATAAGATAGAGCGTGTTCTGCACGGAGGGGCTGTAGACTCCACTCTTGGATGGCCCAAAGAATGTTTCAAAGAGAGTTCTTGTGACTTTGTCATAGGTTCCAGTGTAGCACGATGGCTTTCTCGCATATCTGTCAACAAAAACAAGTTTTTTTATGCGTAGAAATGTTTCTTTTCACCTCCATTTTGCGGTGACCGTCGAAGCAAGCAAGCGCTCTCTCACTTCAGGAAGAAGCGTGAATTTATCGCGAATAAACCCCTCAAAGCCGGACTGGAAGATCACCGAAAGTTGGTACTTTTTCTTCGATGGTTATGAGATCCACACACCTTGGTTGTTTTGAGCAAGCTGAGGTCCGTGAATCCAGAGACCACGTCCACGCTAGATTTGTCTCGAGAGATGGTGATCTCCGCGGTTCTTTTTTGAGATCCAAGCTTGAAACCTGGTGAGGGAAAACTATAAGAACTCTGAAAGAAGAAAAACTTTTAACCGTGTTGGTGTGGGATTCCATCGATTGAGACGCGTTCCCAGTTGTTTTGGACGAGAGAGACGCAAGCTCCAGTCACCTGTGCAGCGTTTTTTTAACGTGAAAAGCCACACTCAAAGAAAGATGTGTGCCTACCTCTTTGTATGTATCGAGGAAGTGAGAGGCAAGCTTGATCCCAAAAGTTTCTATAGACACCGGCTGGTGACAGAGCTTGGCGAGAGCATACACCTTTTCTCACAGGATATGTTGGGTAAGTGGATCCAGCCAAAACAAAGAAAGATATATAAAGCTTAACTGTGTTCTTGATGGAATCAGTGGCCACGATGCTGGAATTGTCGCCGGCGGAGTACGCAGGGATGCAATCCGAGGAGAGAATGATCGAAATTGTCCACTCCACAAACTCGTGATCTTTGCCATCGCCGCGCCACACGCGAGCAACGCGAACTCTCGCCTTGCCGTGGCACTGCTCCTTCACTACGATCTCGTCAGGCATGGATTGGTTCTATCGAAACCCCTAAAAATGAATAGGACATCTCACTGTTGGCTTTACTGGCCCAGTAGCTATCGAAACTGGCGATGCTGCCCACAAAATCTGGATACCTCGGCAGGCGATCGCTGTTGGTGGGCTCTCTCGCAATGCTCCAAGTGGCGAACCCACGATGGGAGAAACGTGAAAAACGATCGCGATGATGAGGACCAAGAGTTGGATAGACAAACACTATAAGCATCACCAAGAAGGATAAAACTCAACTCCAGTGACTCTTGGAGATGGCTGCAAGCATTGTTCCCCAGGCCACCACGTCCTCATCCGATCAAAGTCTCTCCCAGATCGTTAAGATGACGACGATCCCATGCGAGCCCGGGCTTCTTCCACTCGCCCGATCTGCGCATAGCCAGTGATCGTCATGTCAGATGAGCTGCACAGCCTCCTGTGAAATCCTCCGCTATCCATGGCTTCGCGCTGCTCGTAGCTGGAATACTTGCATCCGAACATTCGAACGCAACCGGATTCGAACGGGTATCGAACGTTTAATACCCGTTTAGCTTTTTTTCGAACGGGTATAATGGTTTTCAGTTTTTTTCGAACCTTGATTTTACAGTTTTTTTCGAACCCTGATTTTTTTTTTCGAACCCTGATTTTACATGAACCCTAATCCTAAGTAAAAGAAAGCATATTCTTTAGGGTTTTTAAAAATATTCTTGGCGTTTAAACGTTGTTTTAAACGCCATATTATACGTGCGTTTTAAACGGCGTTTTTTATTAATCGTACCTGTTCGAATGCAAGTATCAGACTGAGTGGAGATCATCCCGGTCCAAGACAACGAGCATATATGGTGATCGTGGCAGTCCACTGGCTGGGCGCCTTTGTTTAAGAATGTTCTTGCTTTTTGAGTCAGAATATTTCAACGTCGTCTAAATGATGTCATTAGAAGGCATGTGCTGTGAGCATTAGGTGCCAGGTTATGACATTCCTGTGGGAGATTCAATGAGTAAACTTTCTTGCATTGGTAATGTTTTGCAAAGAGATCTTCTTTCTAGTGAGCCATTTCATTAAGTTTTTATTTTGGCGTCCAACCCTAAGTTATTTCATAAATTTAATTTAGGTATTGTCTATGTTAATCTCAGGGTTTCGACAACACTTGACATTTATAAAATGAAATGTATATATAAATTATCTAAATCATATATTATTTAAATGTCATGTCAGGCCTTGGTTTCCTTGGTTTCCTTGGTTTCCTTGGTTTCTCACATCCATTGGTGTGGCAACTAAACCACCATCCTAGCGAGAAAAAAGGCTTTTATAGCATCACTATAGAAAAATCAAAGCAATAGCCAAGGCATGTTAGAAATTGTCACCATCCTTGTAGCCACTCAGTGTCCATATTGGTTCCCTTTACAATTTGAGTTAGGTCTTCATGATCAAAAAGTTCTTTTCAACGTATTAATCTCATTGGGGAATTGTACTATTAATGCTTTGCATGGCTAACTGTTCCTTTAATAGAATTGATATCAACTTTATTTTTTGAATTTGAATCCCATTTAAATTGGCCTTTAAATCCCACCTTGAAATACAATATGTTTTGGAAGGATGACGGGTGTACAAATCTTATAGGTGGTGGTCAAAACATAGAGTTGGACAGTTATCTTTACTTTGATGAAGATATATATTACAAAGTGACTAGAAAATTCAGTAAACATGGTTTGACAATTGAAGTTAGTGACTTATGGGAATTTTATCTCAAGTAAATTAGATAATTATTCTATTTCTAGTAAATTAAACATTTTAGCCATTTTGTAACATTTTCCATCAAAATCCATTATAAATGACTATCCATCTCCATGTTATTTAAATTTGGATAATCATCTCTACTTTTGGAGATACATGTTATAAAATGGCTAGTAAACATGGTTTGAAAACAAAAGCTAGTTATCTCAAAACCTTATTAAATAATTATTCTATTTTTTGAAAATTATTTAGGTTTATTCTAGGATATTTCTTAATCTAACAACTATGATTTTTTATCCTTAAAATTTCTCTCATTCATTTATAATCAATTTTAAGTTTTATTTTTCTGTACTTATACTAATTTTAATCATGTTTACATTTTCTAAATATCAAAACTGAATTGAGCGCTGTGAACAACATTGGTTTCCACCTCTCCCCACCCCAAGCCGAGAAAGAAGTGGTGGGGTTTCCCAAACCACCACACTCACTGCACTCTCCATAAAAACTATGCATAAAGAATAAAGATTAAAATCTTAGGCTAATGATTTTTCATTCTTGTGTTTTTCTAAGAAAGTGTCAACTCATTATTTCTATATAATAAAAATAATTTTTTTATAATGCAAGATATAGGATAATATGGTGTCAATCTTCACTATCTTCTTGTTTAAAACTTAATAATCCATGCACATCTATATTGAACCTTTTTTTTTTTTTTGACAAGAAAAACAAGAGCACTGAAAGAAGATTTATTAGGCTTGATAAACCCATAGAAATAAAGAAAGAAAGAAAAAAGAAAAATATAAAAGAGAAAAGAGAGAGTGAGGTTAAAATCTAAATAAAATGAATCCCAACCTATATAACTTTATACTATAATTACTTTTAGATAGAGCAATTTTAAATTTAAATGAAATAAGAGAAGAGATGATGCATTGCTTAAGGATGTAAGCGGGTGAATGGAAGGTGAGAGGATTGCTCAATCAATGATATAATGTGCAATTTATAAAAGTGTAAAAGATAATGCATAAAATTTTATTCAGAACATGTGTAAAACTTTTATAAATTTATGTAGGACAACCACCTTCATGCCAATACCAATGGCCCCTCTCATGGCTTGGATGAGGCCATCTATAATCTCATAAACCCAATATTTTGGCATATCAGTAAAACATTCTTTAAAGCACTATATTATTATCTTTTTTAATTGATCTTTAGACAGCACTATAAGAAGTATGCACCCCTTACTTGTGCCATTACTAAATCTAAATGTCTTTACATGCAAGGGGTTAATCCTTGAAGCAAATATCATTTCCTTCTTAATTTCTTCTAGCTTGAGCTGTTTGTTGGCTTAATTGATGGATTTTTTCTAAGCAACCTCCCAAGCTCTAGACAAAATTTATGAATGGAATGGTTGAATCTCAAGGCCATTATGATGGGAGCTCAAAATATAATTTGAGGATCATGATCTTATGTTTCCTCAAATACAATAGAGACCATCTCTCTTCAATAAACATCAATATTTCCTTCTCACTGCCTAAGACCAAGAATTAAGTGGCTCTACTCAAATGAATTGAGGAGTGGAAGTAGGAACTTTTTGACAGATCTTGATATAAATTTACAAAGAGACTGTGCCCAAGATCATAATATGTTTGATAAGAGTTCTTGGGAAGAATATAATAATCTACAAAGCTTCACTTGCTCTATAAAATTAAAGCTCTAAAGTGGCCTTTTCTTCACATATCCCAAGCTCCCCTAGGTAAAATCTTTTTTAAAGAATGAATTAAATAAATGGCTCTAGCATCATCAGATAATTACTAATGGATTTTTACCACATGTCTAATTTATTATTTGTAAATTTTACACATGACTTTTTCATGCTTTGTAAATTTTCTGCCATAAATGACCAACTGAAGAGTCACAAACAGCCATCTATATAATCTTTATAGTAGTATCAAAGAAAAGGTGGTGGATTATCTACACAAAAAATTACCACTTACTGAAAAAGGTGGAATGGGATTGAAGCCACTCTATTAAAAAGTCTTAAATACCTCTTTACATAAAGCCTAACTAGCCACTAAAAGTCTTAATTTGTCACTAAGTTGAAATTGATGTGTTGATCTAATCAAAATTGTAACATGTAAATGATAATGGAAAATGTTGAGGCCAACTATAATGTTATGGAAAAACATGGAGTTATATTTATGGGAAACATTGTAAAAAATGATTAAAAGCAATAATAGTGATTATAAATGATGAAAAAGAATGCTAAGAAGATAGTATTAAAAGTGATAAAAGGTAAAATTTAAAACCTTCAACATGATCTAGAAAACTCAAAACTTACTGTTTGTTGAGATAAAGTAGTATGAGGTTGAGAACTATAGTCTAAGAACACTCTTATAGCTATATGACCTAAAAAGAGAAACATAAAAATAAGATGAGAAGACTAAAACATAAAAAGAAAAATAAAAATTAATAAAGAAAGAAAAAAATGTTCAATGCAGAATGGCTTGAGGTGATAATGGTGCATAAAAAAGATTATATCCTACCTGAAAGGGCATTGTTGCAAGGCATGCATAAATCACTAAGAAAAAAGAAATATATGTATTAAGTGGTACTGATGTGAATGACCAAGACTTAGTGACTAGAAAAAAAATTCTATTTCATGTAGAGACAACAAAAAAATGGTTGCTCTTCAAAATTGCCACTTTATAAAATATTTACTTACATCAACTTAAAATTGACATGAAACATGTCTAATATCTCAATCAATAAATACAAAGTGTGTAAAAAAATATCTTAAAGATTGCCATAGAGATATAGTGCAAAAATAATTGATAGAAAAATTGTTGTAAGAGAAAACTTATTTATTACACCAAATACTAAGAAACAAAATTCAAAGTTTTTAATTTTTTCTATAGCCTCCTCAAAGTTAATATGAAGCTCCTTATTCTCCTTTGTAAAACTGAAAACATAGCTAAATCAACTAACACCTCCAACTACTTCATATCATGTATTTGTAGAATTTAAGGATAACTTCTGACAAATTGATCTTGACTAGATATGACTTGACATGAGAGTCTAAAAATCTTGTCTAGTTAGATTGCAAAAACAAGACACTATTACAATCTACCACCTTAGTCTCTAGCAATTATGCAAGTGATAGAATCTCTCAGTCTAGTAGAGAATTCAAATGAATATAAAGCTTTAAAATAAAACTTTTGGAATCATGAAAGTGAAAAGAGATTAATAACTCTAAAATGGTTCTAAAAAAGAGGATTATTGAAAAGGGGACATAAATGAATGGAATAGGATATCCAGCTTGGGTATTTCAAAGTATATCTAGGAATATCCCTAAAATCATACTTCAATATGAACCTAGGAAGAAATCGCAAATAAATCCTATATGAGCCTTCTTGAGTTTGGGCTTCTCACGCTGCAGCTTGCGTCTCTGTCGTCCAACACAACTGGCTTCTTCAGAGTTACGTTGGATTTGTCTTAACTCTTATCAGGTTTTAATTCTCTCGAGACAGATGTACTGTGGACCTCAGCTTCTCAAAACAACCAAAGCAAGCTAAGTGGCGAGAGTATACACTCTTGATGGAATCAGTGGCCACAATGCTGGAATTGTCGCCGGCGGCGGAATGCGCAGGGATGGGGAGAAGGATAGAGCATCCGCGCCACACGGGAGCAACACGATCAAAACCCCTAAAACATGGGGCATCTCAGTGTGACTGTCTTGGCCCAGCAGCCATCGAAAGTGGCGATGCTGCCCACAAAGTCTGGATTCGTGGCCAGGCGATCGCTGTTGATGGGCTCTCTCGCAATGCTCCAAGTGGCGAACCCACGACGCGCATTTGGGAGAAACGCGAGAGACAATCGCGATGAGGACCAAGAGTTTGAGATAAGAACCATGCAGCTGTTTGAGGTAGCCTATCTTCTTTCTTGATCTTCCTTTTGTATTGACAAGGATGTTTCTAGCAATTCCAATGCGTAGAGCACAACGCGCTCAGTCGTCGCGATCCAAGATTTGGACCTCTCGAGCAATGTCGCAGCAGTGGACATGGACGATGGTGAGATCCAAGGCATTGGCTCCGGATTTGTGTGGGATCGATTCGGCCACATTGTGACAAATTATCACGTTATCTCGAAGATAGCTAAGGATACGAGCGGCAAGAAACAGATAAAGGTCTCTTTCTTTTTTTCTTCTTTTGTGGCTACAAAGTCGTGTATGATCGATCACAGGTGGTATTGCTGGCTTTGAATGGAGACGTCGATTCTTACAATGCAGCTATCATCGGTCTCGATCCTTCTCGTGATCTCGCAGTTCTCAAGGTACAGGAAAATCTTTTCCACTGGTTGTTTACAGTCTTCTTCTCTTGGGTGTTTCAGATTGAAGTTCCAGAATCCAGTGTGTTGCGTCCAGCAGTGATAGGAAGCTCCAAAGATCTTAGAGTCGGCCAAAATTGCTACGCGATAGGAAATCCTTACGGATACGAGCACACCCTCACTACTGGAGTACGCAAAACCTTCTCTTTTCTTGCTTCACGTAGCTTTGTTCTTCGCAGGTAGTCAGTGGATTGTGCAGACAAATTCCTTCACCCTCTGGCAAACCGATCTTCGGTGCCATACAAACTGATGCATCGATAAATGCGGGTATAATACATCGAGTGATTAGCTTTGGAAGAACTAGAACTAAAAAGACGATCTTGCAGGGAACTCTGGAGGACCATTGCTCGATTCATTCGGACGAGTCATCGGTATCAACACCGCAACCTTCACCCGGCGAGGTAGGCATAGTTTTCTTTCTCATTCTCACACAAACATTCTCTCAAATTCCAGGCTCGGGAACGTCCTCCGGTGTGAATTTCGCAGTGGCGATCGATCTGGTGAGGCAAGTCGTGCCCCATTTGATCGTGGAAGGCGCGGTGAGCTCTAGCAGATCAGTGGAGCGAGGTGTTCTTGGGCCTCCCAGATACCTCTCGCTTCCATGAAAAAAATCCAAGTTCCTATAGACGCAAAACCCTAAGAACTAGGGTTTAGGGCTTTTGGGGTTCTCGATGATGAGGCGCGCGTGGAGGAATCGCTGCCCCGCCCGGCGCTGCTACGAGAATGGAGGTATTCCTTCCAGGTCCTTGCACGGCGCGGCGAGGCGCGGCCCCTACGATGATGGCGGCGGCGCCGACGCGGCCCCGGCGCCATCGGCCAAGGTGCTCAAGATCGTCGAGGACATCGCCAATCTCACGCTGCTCGAGGCGGCCGACATGTCGCTGCTGCTCAAGAAGAGGCTGCGCATCCAAAACGTGCCCGTCATGTCCATGGGGATGAATGTGATGCACGATATGTGGTATGATCCTTTGCCGCTCCCCGCCGCCGGTCCTCCGCCGCCTCCTCTTCCGCGGCGTTCCCTCGGCGGCAGCCAGAGGGTTCTTCCGGAAGAGATCCATCTCCAGCACGGGCTCTTGCGCAGTCCAAGTGGTGCCGCCGCCACCGCCGCGAGCTCCTCCTCTTCGCGGTCGGTCCATGCAGCGATCAGCGAGAGTGACAAGTATCTCTATCAACTCCCCTCGGCGTCGTCGGACACGGACTCCTACGACAACGAGCTGGACGATCGCGACCACGATCGCGACGTCGATCGCGACGACGACGACAAGTTTGGCACCGGCGTGGAAGAAGAGGATCGTTGGGACGATGACGAGGTGACAATGCCTCGAGCGAAGAGTTTGAGCAAGGCGCAAGGTGATGGAGCACAGACTGTTGCTGCAGCAAAGAAGGCCGCGACGCCGACGAAGAAGAAGGCTCCAGTGGCGAAAGCCACAGCAAGCAATGGAGCTCCCGATGGATCGCCCGCTCCCGCGGCCGCCATCAAGAAGAGAGGTGGCCGGAGACCAAAGGCCAACGAGGGAGCTGTGCCGTCTTTCACAGCGCCAGCGCCGGACCCCCCGCCGCCTGCGAAGAAACCAGCGGCGGCGACGAAAGCAAAGGCGAGAGCTTCGACCACCAAACCGGCTGCTGCCGCTGCAAAGGCTGCTGCGTGAGATCGATCGATCGATCGAGCAGGACGAGGGGAATCAAAGAGCTGATGAAACAACAAACTCTGAAAAGGAACTTCCGACACACAGGTTCCAAAATCGTATCGTCGTTTATCTTCGTTTTTTCGCTTTGCTTTGGTCCACTTTCAGGGAATGAAGAGGCACAAAGTCTCTTCACCTTTTTGCTTTCTTGGAAGGTCCTCTAAAGTTTGACAACAGGGATCCTTCCTTCAAGCTTGCCAAAAGAAAATGCGAGAGTACTTTTGCAAAAGATAACTCTCATGCAAGTTTATAATCTAGTGTCAACTTTTGGCAATTGCCCTTTCCCGGCATGTGGCGCTACAAGAGAATTCCGCTCTATTCCAACTCACGCCTGTAAGGCCACAGCCTTATAAAACTATTCCCGATGAAGAATGGAAAGATAATCGCTTTGGTTCTCCATGATCATCGCAACATGCCTGACCAAAATTATACCTTGCGTGGAGTGTAGCGCATTCCATCCCACCAAAGTAATCAATCATGGGATACCACAAGATTTCTAAATGCTATAGTTTCACTATCAATCTAAACATCACATGGTTTGCTTGCTTCACGCTACATCCCAGCCGTCGATTCCAGAAGCCCACCAAACGCTTTTAACACCTTGTCGTCGTTACCCTTTTTGTACGCACTCATTAACATGGACGTTAGGCGCATATGCCGCGATATATTCTCCGCCGCAATATCCCATTGACGGCGCTGGGCATATTCCGTGTGTGTGGTTTAGTGCTCGTGAGAGGGGGAGGACCACCCTGCCCGCGAGCGCCCGCGGGGACCGAGACGATGATGAGCGCTGCGCCGCCAGGTATGATCTCTGCTCAATCTGGCGCTGGCTCCAGCTCCACTAGCCGCGCTGGAGCGATTTCCAGCAATGCCTAGGTCTCCCAGCGTCGATTCTTGCTGCTCTTGGGATATTTCATCGCGTTGTGCTCGGCCAATGCGCCGGAGCTGCGCAAATTGCCCCGGAGCTCGGGATTTTTCTCTGCTGTGTGGCTGGATCTTTGGGAGGCTTGTGTGGAATCGTGTGAGCATTGCAATGCCTTGCGTGTGAACGAGAGATTTCTTGCAAGCCAGTTGTAGGTAGTTTTTACATCGTTTTTTCTTCCTCTGCTGGATCTTGACCTTCGTTATTTTTTTGCCATTGCATAGAGAGAAGAACTGGCAACTGGCACAAAGTGGTGATCCCAATGCGCTGCGCTTAACACGAGGAGGACGAAGAATAAGATGGAAAGAAATCGCTGCGCACTTCTAATCGTCCTGGCAGTTCTGGCAATGCCCGGTGGTGGTAACGCGGACGATAAAGACGTGCTCATGGCATTCAAGGCTTCGGCAGATGTGTCGAACAGGCTAACGAGCTGGGGGAACGGAGATCCTTGCAGCGGCAATTGGACTGGTGTAAAGTGCGTGCAAGGACGGATTCGCTATCTCATCCTCGAAGGCTTGGAGCTGGCCGGATCAATGCAAGCGCTCACCGCACTCCAGGACCTCCGCATTGTCAGCCTCAAGGGGAACTCTCTCAACGGCACTCTTCCGGATCTCACGAACTGGAGATACTTGTGGAGCTTGTATCTTCACCACAACAACTTTAGCGGCGAGCTTCCACCCAGCCTGTCCAACCTCGTACATCTTTGGCGGCTCAATCTCTCCTTCAACGGCTTCTCCGGACAGATACCGCCATGGATCAACTCCTCGCGGCGGTTGCTCACTTTGAGGCTCGAGAACAACCAGTTCTCGGGGGCTATTCCGGATCTCCGGCTCGTCAACCTCACGGAGTTTAACGTTGCCAACAATCGGCTGAGTGGAGAGATCCCACCGTCGCTCAGGAACTTCTCAGGCACTGCGTTTCTGGGGAATCCATTCTTATGTGGTGGCCCTCTGGCGGCATGCACGGTGATACCCGCGACACCGGCACCTTCTCCGGCAGTGGAGAATATAATCCCGGCCACACCGACGTCCAGACCAAACGAGGGAAGAAGAACGAGGAGCCGACTTGGGACAGGGGCCATCATCGCCATTGTCGTTGGTGATGCGGCGGTTCTCGCCTTGATCGCTCTGGTTTTCCTGTTTTTCTACTGGAAACGCTATCAACACATGGCGGTGCCTTCTCCAAAGACCATCGACGAGAAAACGGATTTTCCAGCGTCACAATACTCGGCTCAGGTGCCGGAAGCGGAGAGAAGCAAGCTGGTATTTGTCGACTCCAAAGCCGTGGGCTTCGACCTGGAAGATCTCCTGCGAGCTTCTGCCGAGATGCTGGGAAAAGGAAGCTTTGGAACGGCATACAAGGCTGTGCTCGAGGACGGAACAATAGTTGCGGTGAAGCGGCTCAAGGACATTACAATATCTGGAAGGAAAGAGTTTGAGCAACATATGGAGTTGATCGCAAAGTTTCGACACCCCAACGTGGTTAAGCTCATCGCATACTATTACGCCAAGGAAGAAAAGCTCCTGGTGTACGACTTCATGCCCAACGGGAACCTGTACACGCTTCTTCACGGTATGTTTGTCATTGTTTACAAATTCCTAGCTCATCGACTGCTCTTGCAGGTAACAGAGGTCCCGGAAGGAAACCCCTGGACTGGACAACGCGCGTTAAGATCGCTCTGGGTGCGGCTAAGGGCCTGGCCTTCATACACCGTCAGCCAGGCGCTCAAAAAATACCGCACGGAAACATCAAGTCTTCGAACGTGCTTCTCGACAAAGATGGCAACGCTTGCATTGCAGACTTCGGCCTAGCGCTGCTCATGAACACGGCAGCGGCTTCTCGTCTAGTAGGCTACAGAGCTCCCGAGCACGCAGAGTCAAAGAAGATATCTTTCAAGGGGGACGTCTACAGCTTCGGGGTCTTGCTCTTGGAGCTCCTAACTGGGAAGGCGCCGGCACAGTCACATACTACGCAGGGGGAGAACATCGATCTTCCACGCTGGGTACAGTCCGTGGTTCGGGAGGAGTGGACTGCCGAAGTCTTCGACATCGAGCTCATGAAATACAAGAACATCGAAGAGGAGATGGTGGCCATGCTACAGGTTGGGATGGTTTGCGTCTCGCAGTCGCCGGACGATCGGCCAAAGATGAGCCAGGTTGTGAAGATGATCGAGGATATAAGAGCCGATCAATCTCCAGTGGCCGGGGACTCGACTTCGCAGTCACGCTCTGGATCTCCCTCGGACGCAAGCCATTGACTGGATGAAACATTTATTTCTACTATACTGGTACGTTTTTCTCATTGTTTTTCTACTTTGGAAGTCCTGATCTCTTCTCTTCGCTGGCGCAGGGTTCTCTGCGACTTATTCATTCGTGGAAGCTCTGCTAAGTGCATTACATCTATTCACAGGAAAGTCTCAATAACAGATTGGGCTCTCATTATTTCTCCAGCTTATATTGACAGAGCTTCGCTATAAACTTCCAAGTAAACGAATCCAAATGGATTTTTTGTTTCTGATTTGGTTGCTATTACTCTCGAGTTTCTACAGCGTAGATCACTGTCTCTTAAAAACGCAGGCGCGAGTCCTTTCCACCCAGGCAAGGAAGAATTTATTTTTTCCTCGCAGAAAAAGAGATAGCCTAGCTAACCAGCCGAGTCGAGCCAAGCCGACTTTTCCTTTTTCTGTGCCAGCAGCTAGCTGATGTGCTCAAAACAACAACACCCAAGAAAAAAGCAAAAAAAACGAAATGGAGATGATTTCGACACGAAGTTCCTTGCTTGGCTTTCACTTGGACTGACTGGACTAGTGAGTCAACGCCGGGGCTGACTAAGGCCGTGAACTGACTAAGTTGACTAGAATTGACTGATCTGACTTTTATACGAGTCGAGCTATCTTTAGACTTTACAGCAACGCAGAATTGAATCCCCGCCACCTTTGGACAACGAAACAATATTCAGATTCTAAGTTTCTTGTCATTTATTTATATTTACACTAATTCCAAGGCCTGATAATATTGCAGGCATTTTCTTGGTTTGGCAAAGTCATCAGAAGTAGCAAAACTAGCTCACGAATTGGTCAGAGCAGCACGAACCAAAGATCGATCAATTTGACTACATTTTCCCAGCCAAAGGACCACCACCATGAAAATGAAAATTGAAAAGCCAAGATTCTTTTTTGTCTCCTTTTTTATAAATATATATTTTGACAAGACAGACTGATTGCTTGGATTCCTCTCGGAACAAGAAACTACAACTTTGACGGCACGACCGGTCAACGTGCAGTGGAACCGGATGGTTGACTGGCTTAACACTGGTCAACGCTGCCGGCTGGTCCAGGGCCGACTCCTTCTGGCTCCACTGTTACAAATCTGCCACGTTTCTGTACTTCGTAAAGTCCCATTCTCTCTTTTGCAGCTGGATGCCAATATTTGGTTTTTCATTAGACTAAAGAAATGGTTCTGGATTTTCACTCCAATCTTCCTGCACATGAAGATTCAGCGAGTTTTTGGAGATGTTTCCAATGTTGGATAACGTACAACATATATGTATACATAGTTGTTATATACTTTTGTGCGGATCCAACAGAAGCTGGCCCATTGAGAACTTTGAGAGTCTATAAATTCGCGGGACCACGATCACTCACGTTCACGTTCCCATTTATAATGTCCCTTTGTGATCAGTGATAAGTGAGCAGCGACGATCGAGCGAGGAAGGACCCGATTCAAGTACTATGACAGGAACACCCAAACCCGAAGGTGATCACTGACACACTGCGCAATTGAATTCGAGCTTCGTACCGCACAGCGAAAACGATTGAATATAGTGGAGTCTCAGATGTGTTTGTGGCTGGAGAGGCAAACCAAAGTTTCTTGCTCCTTTTTTACAGCTGATTTGATTTGTGTGGACTCCTGGAGAAACATGCCAGGTGAAAGTGTTTGTTTAGGACACGGGGTTCGACACCACACGTGAGATCGCAGGACAACTAATACCTGAGGAGCGATCAAGAGGTTTATAGCTAACTTGAGTCACCTTTCCTTCAATTCAATGCTCGTGGAAACTCTCCCATCTCGTCTATAAGATCTGGGGACCAACGTTTTTCTTTATTCTCAAACTTAATCTGTGCTTTGGCGCATGAAATCTAGCAAAGCATTTGATTAAGTTGTGAGCCGGGAGACGAGGCGTCGCTCTAGGCGAGAATCAAGCGATCATTAACTTTGTAACCAGCTAGGATGAAACAAACCAGAGCGATCATCTCATGCATTGGGAACAGCGTGTATGCTGCTGGCTGGCCACAGCCTTGCGCATAAAAACTAGAGCAACTTTTCTTTTGGTTTCTCTCAGTCGATCCGAAATGTTAGTGCTTTTGTAAGAGCTTGAGTCAACATGACAAGCTTTTGTATAGCCAAAAACACGAACTTCCACACCACACGTGCACTAAATAGCGAGATACCTGGACAGAATCCTCAGAAGTTTGTGTCCTAGTTTACAGGTGAATGGGTACCAAAATCAAGATGCCCAAAACCAAAACGTATAATGCATGGAACTTGATTTCAAGTGACCGACCACAACCAATCCATCCATCAGCATCATCAGCCCGCACGCTCGCAAGGTTTACAAAACCATTCCATAGCTTTCGGCCAAATGGCTAAAATCTTGTTAAGTTCCGCGGGCGGGGGTAATTCAAACCGCAGTGTTGTCTGTGAAGTGGACAAGGTATGGATAGATTGGATGAACACCGTGCATATATAAAAGATCTTTTATATAGCAATGCAAAAACCCTCTTGATTGCATCTTGGATCCAAATTACGAGACAAGCGTTGTTTTTATGATCCATGATCCACGTTCACGTGCACTGATCATCACTGCCAAGCGAAAACCTTAAACCCTAAGTTAAACCCAAAACCCAAACCTGAACCCCTAAACTTTTGATGTTGATTTGCGAGAAAATGTTGGTAGCATAACTTTTGCTCACAAGAATGTCGTACGCTGGCCGGTTTGCTCTACACAAAATCCTGCCCATAAACATCAAGGCTGTTGGTCGCCTAACACTCATTTAATGCCCCAAAGTCCCGGACTAAACCATCCCAATGTCAATGAGAGGATTGACAATGTTTGGGATCTCACCACTCGCGCCGGGCTTCCAGCCCTTCCAACCAGGCCGCAGACTCGCCGGTGAAAACTCTTCCAGTGGAGAGAGAGACAGCGATTTTTGCTTGCATTAGCATTGCATGATAGAGATCGAGGCCCGGGCTTGAGTTTCAATGCTGTCGATGGACAGCGATTGCACACGAGTTGCAAGCTGGGCGAGAAAAATCGCCCCATTTGGTCTTGCATGGCATCTTGTTTAGAGGCTTAGTGGGCGTTTAGGTGGCTAATTTGTTTTGTCAAATAAAGAAATACACTTTGGTTTTTATATGATTTTAAATTCTTTTGAAATATGTTCATGTGACCCACACTAAAATTTCAATAATCTTGATCTTGTGCGCTTGTAGGAATAAAAAATTTCCGTTAGCAACAAAAACACGGTGCTGACTTTTGGTTAGATCTATCAGGGCGGACCAGCATTAATTTCCAGATAAACGGAAATAGGAAATATATATATAATTTATTAATATAAAAAAGAAAGAGGCCACCAAACTCCCACTGTTAGTTTTTCTTTTTTGCTTACAACAAAGAGACAGAAGCCGGAATTGCCCACCACTTCATTCATTCATTCATCCATTTCATCCCATTCATTCTCTCCTCTTCGAGGCTCACACACAAACTCTTACATGAACATAAAGTCACCTAATACTTTGCATGCCAATGCCAGGGCAAGCCACATCGCCAGTCGCTATTGCAAGACGAATATCCACACGCGATGCCTTCCAAATCATAGAAGAACACGGATCAAAGCCAGTGTTAAGAACAAAGCGCGAGATTATATTGAAAAGTTGGCCGTGCTGACAATCCCGTGTCGACCGGGGCTTGTTGGAGGGGCACACGACACACAAACTTTAATAAACTTGAAGCTCACAAACACGCACACACAAGGCCAGTCTTTGAGTCTCCTTCGCTGCAGTGCGCGGGGGTCAAAGTTCTGTAAGAGCGAGCGATCAAGATCAAGCTGGGGGATTTCCATTCTTATCGCCCTTCTCGCTCGTCTTGTTCCCTCTCGCTTGCTCGAAGCACCCGCGACAAGAGAGCCAGAGCTTCTTCGAGTGGGGCTCTCGCGTTATTCTTCCTGCCTGACACGAGAATGTGCTTGCCCGCTTAGCAAGACCTGTGTAGCTCTCCGAAAGCGTGGAAAGAGTTTCTAGAATCTCACCGAGACCGACTGTTGACCGGCAGATTTCTTCCCATTCTTTTTTCTCTCCCGACCGTAGAGTTTGGCTCCTCTCCTAGAGCCGGGTCCTCCCACGGAGTACTCATCAGCCTATAAAATAAAAGAGAGAGAGGGAGAGGGACTGTGTTAGAAGAAGAAGAAGAAGAAGAAGCCAAGAGGCTGATAAACGCGCCCCGTTTGTCAACATACCATCATTTTCGTTCTCTCTCTCTTTCTTCTTCGTCCCTGCGGTGCTGCTGCTGCTGCTGCTTGCTCGAAGTACCAGCTGCCGATGCCACTGCGCACATTCCCCCACACGCTTCAAACTCTGGCTTGATCTCTCCCTTCCCGGCTTCAAGCTATTTTCCTTTCGAGCTGATACATCATATATCTATCCATCGCCTTGTGCTCTCCTCCGAGAGCTTTCCAATCCTCCTCGGACTCTCTCTAAATCTCTCCACCTGTGCTTGAGTGACTCACTCGGATGTTTCTAACTTGGTCGGAGCGTGTGAACGAAGATCTATCCGGATAACTTTAGCTGCAAGCCTTGTTTGACCAGACGTGTTCTCTGGTGAATTTGCACTCTGGAGCTTTGGCAGCAGCAGCACCCCAGTAGTAGTAGCAGCATCAAGGTTCCATTTTCTATCCCACCTCTCTCTTTCTTTTCTATAGCAGTCTTTCACGAAGCTCGAGCAAAGCGTGTTCCTGAATGCGTGCCCGCCGCTGTAAAAGAATTGCCCGGGTTCTCACTGTAGACTGGACACGCTTCCTGTTTCCTTCCCGTTGTTTCTTCGCTCTCTTGGTTTTCATTGTCACTGAGGCGCCTGCTTGATCTCCTCTCACTCCACTTCGCAAATTCCAGTGCCTTTTCCAGGATCCAGCACCAGTGTTGACTAAGTCTTGCAGTCTCGATCATGCTCGTGGCTTCTAGAGCCGAGCGCTCGTGTGCAGTGTAAGAGAGTCTCGCTTCTCTGTAGCTCAGGAGGAAGCTTTCGGCTATCGACGTCCGTGCAGCATCAGGTCTCTCCTCTTGGTCGGTTCTCGCGCTGTTTGGAACAAGTCGGGCCGCTCGAGAGCGAGAAATTGTGCGATCGAAGAGTACACATGAAAGCTTCGAAGGCGTTCGTCTAAATGTCCAGTCTGATGCTCTCCGAGTCGACGCAGCAGCACTTGTCCTCGGCCTGGAATCCCGTCGGCAGTAGCATGCTATGCAAGCCAGAGACATTCTCCGCGAGCTTTCACGACCCCTTTGATCAGTCTTCCTTCTTCTCTTCGTCATCGTCTTCCCTCGAACAACAGCAGCAGCAGCAGCAGCAACAGCACGACTTTTTGCTTCCATCGCCTCGTCTCATCAGGTATGCTCATCACCTGTGGAGCAATTCGGGATCGCCCAAGGCGCTGGAGCTGAAGAATCCGGAGATTTTGCGAAAGACCTCGTCGCCATCGTCCTCCACTTCGCAGATCACTAACGAGGCCATGGAGGGCCGCATCCCCAAGCAAGAACTCTCGGAGAGCGAGCTCGACGCGATCCTTCGAACGCTCTCCCACCAGCAGCAGCAAAGTCACGCTTCAACTGTTGCTTCTTCCGGAATTCCATTCCACGAGTTGGCCGATCCCGACCACCACCACCACCACCACAGTCAACAAGCTCCTCCCTCCTCGTCTGGATTGCAAACTCAAACCGCTGCCACGGCTGGATCTCTCTGGAACTTCCCCGAGCAGGATCCATTCAGCTCGTCACCGCCGGATCACCACCCATTCGCCTTCCACGCCGCGACCAACAGCGATCACAAAGACTCCAGCCAGTTCTCGTGGAGCTTCTCTGATCAACAGCAAGCGCCGCGCGATCGCCAGCAGCAGCAGCAGCAGCAGCAACAATGGTTCTCGCAGCTCCAATCTTTTGGAAATCCTGCCGATGATCCAGCTCCACCTCTCTACTTCCAGACACAGCCACAGCAGCAGCACATGCCCGGTCAAGGCATCCTCGGCGCGCCACCGTTATTCATCCCGGATCACCTGGAATTCGAGGAGAAGCCCATTCTCGGCAGCGGCGCGGCTGCCACAGGCCTACCTGGAACACCGAATTCTTCCACATCCTCGTCGCTCAGTGACGGGCCCGACGATCAAGACGCCAGAACTGCCGCCGCTGCCGCCGCTCCTGCGAGCCCGTCATTGGGATCCGGAGCGCCAAATGTCGCTGTTGGGAGCTCCAAGCGCAAGATGCCGCACGATGGATCCGGCGATGGCGGTGATCCAGACGCGAAACCCTCGCCCGGTGGTGGAGACAAGAAGACGTGAGTTTCTTTCGTAAGGTTCTTTCTTTCATTTCTTTCGCTGATCGATCGAGACTTTGATGCTTGCAGCAGCGCCAAGCCGCGCAAGAAAGGCCAGAAGAGGATCCGCGAGCCGCGCTATGCGATCCAGACGCGCAGCGAGGTGGATATCATGGACGATGGCTACCGGTGGAGGAAGTATGGGCAGAAGGCCGTCAAGAACAGCCCTCATCCCAGGTAAGCTCCTCTCTCCTCTCGAGTCATTCTTGCATTCGATCGATAGCAGTTTTGACAATATCGTCGTGAGCGCGAGAGATTTTGGCTGATCCATCCAGGTTTTCGTTGCATCTAGGATCTAGATTTTTTTTTCCTGTAGACTCTTTGCTCTTTTTTGGTCGAGCTCTAGCGTAGAATATTTACTTCTTTTCGAGCTGTAATGGATGATCTTTCCACAGGAGCTACTATCGGTGTACCAACACGAAGTGCCCCGTGAAGAAGCGCGTGGAGCGTTCTTCCGAGGACCAAGGACTGGTGATCACAACTTATGAAGGGATCCACAACCATCATAGCCCTGCCGTGCTGCGCAGCTCCGCCGAAGCTGCTCAGTATGCAGAGCGATCGTTTGCTGGTTACTCGCTCTACTCGGCTGGATTGCTCCATCACCACCTCAACTTTGCGGCTCCGCCGCCACCACTGCCGCCGCATAACTTCTCCACCGCCTCCTCCGCCAGGACCAACTTCGATCTCACAATGCAGCTCTCGAGAAATTCCAGCCAGCAGCAGCAGATGTATCGACCGGATCAACTGGAGCACCATCACCACCTCCAGCTCCAACACGCTCAAGAACAGCACGAAAACGTTGCGAGTGGCAGGGTGGCGGACGAGGGCCTCCTCGAGGACATGGTTCCAACGAGCTCACGAACGAGGAACTTATGATATATTCGATTCGCGATCGAGATCATCGTGGGACCAAGTTCAATCGGAGCCGAGAGCTCTATCGCTCTGATCATCAAATCACTGACACAAAAGCTGATCAATGCGGAAAACATCACCGAATAACTTTTGGGAGGATCGTTTTCGCTCGATGCTGACTCGAAACGATTTTGCGGACAGATCTCTCATGTGCATTACAATGAAAATGGATCGACCCTATCTCAGTGTACGGGAGTTTACGTGTGCATGGATAGGTATGTTCTCACAACCTCCAGTAGAAGTTCATACACCCAATCCATGATGATTCCCGGATGTACGAAGATTATTCCCGGCTAGAGATTCCCCGCTCCACTAGCCCAACATGCATGCATGTGGTACGGCCGCGGCTATCCAGGAAACATCGAATAAACAAAAGAAAGGAAGTTGGCAAAACACACACAGTTGAAGAGTTTCTATCGTTCTCCATTGGAAGAATCGATACATACGATCAAAGGTTTATAGATACAGATCAAAGGTTTGTAGGTGTTTGACTGGATCATCAAAAATCTCCTGCCTGGTCGGGAATGATCTTGTCCCATTTGTTCTTCAAAAATATGCGATCGAGTGGAGAAAATAAGAATGGAAAGGGAATCCCCGCAAGACTGGCATTTCTTTTAAAGAGCCGATCTTGTTCTTGCGGCCGGTCAATTCTTTTTCTGGACCAACGAGCGCGCGAAGCTCTCGTTGGCCAGTCAGTCAACCGTGGTCAATGGAAGCGTTGACGAGCTGCTGACGAGCCGGTGGCGTCACCGCTGGGCACTAGTGTGAATGGAGCGATTTGGATTGTGGGCTGTGAGTGCGCTGCTCCCGCGCGAGAGCTCTTTGGCGGTGCTTTGGCTTGCTTTGACTGATCGAGCGCATTGACCGGCTAACGAACCCAGCGCGGTGCCACCGTAAGCATGAATCATCATCGCCGCGCTGCCGCGAGAGAGAGAGAAAGAAAGAATCAAAACAATGTCCAAGAGCTCTTTTTAAGTTGCCAGATAGAACTCACCTGGGAAGGAAGAGCTCGGAAACTTCTACACATGTTGTCAGTCCGTGATCCTGCCAGAAGAAACAAGAAAAAAAAGAAAAGATGTTATATCCTATTAGCTCGCTCTCGAGGATGGAACAATATACTCACCGGCTTAACAGTGCTCGACGAAATCATTGCGGAAGAAAAAAGGATGGCGCACTCCTGTTTTTTGCAGTGGTTGTGTTGCTTGTTCTCTCGCTTGCTCTCGTTCTAGACCCGTCCGTGACCGAATCCGGGGCCAGCTTTTTTAAGAAAAGCAAGCCAGCTGCATGAAGAGGCATGGTACGTCGGGAGCAATAGAAAGGAAAAAAAAAAAAAACGGGGAAGAAAGAGTGTACCTATTAGCGGTACAATCCGTCGGTTGGATTCCCCATCTTTGCAGAGATTCGAAGCAGCCGAAGTCGAACGTTTGTGCTGCTGGCTTTTCTATTTTATTACTTTCTTGCGGCCAAGGCTGTTCCATCATCATGCCCCGCTTTTGAGAGGATTTTGGAATCCTTCGCGCTGATCAACGTTTACTTGTCAATGGCCTCTCCAAAAGAAGTTGAGAATCAAATCGCAAACAAAAGCTTTCTTTCCTCCCCTTTTTCTTTTTGTTGGTACCTCGAGCGAAAGCTGTTGCAAGCACCTTCACCTCGTTTCCTTGAAGCTGCTTCCTCCTGCAAGTGGCCTTATTGTGCTGTAATCGGAGAACCAAGTGAGTCTTCCTTAAAGTAGTCATGCAGCTTCATCTGTTTTTGTCAATTTCCCTGTTGGAGTCGTAAAGGCTGGCTGGCGCTGCACAAAACGTGGTCGCTCGATATCAAGATATCTCGATAATCAAAGAAACTTCTTTTACCAGAATTTGAGACTCTGAAGCTCCCTCCAAGCATCCATCTCCATGACCGTGACCAGTGGATGCATCGTCGATTTGACGACTTTTAGAACGCTTGAAAAGCTGGGAGGGAAAAAGTGTTAGGAAGTATTATTCTTGAAACGTAATGTCACCGTCCAGCGTTCTCCAAAAGCTGCTGAGAGCCCGTCGTCTAGGCAACGTCGTTGTCTTGTTGCGTTCTAAAAGTCTGAACATATAAAGTTAAGTGTTGAAAGCACACACAAACCACGATTGCAACTTTCTCCTGGCTGGAAGAACACGATTTAATCAATCTCTGAGCTAGCTTACCGACTTTACAGGGACGATACATATGTATGAAGATGAGGCCTTCCTTTACACTGTGAAGACAAGGGGGAAAGAAAATCCATACTCATACGTCGAGTGGTAGTAAATTGGCGAGCATATCCGGCTGTCTATTCGATTTATATCACTGTTAGAAGCAACACAAATTTTCTTACACAACGCTATGATGAGTTTCTTGATGCAACGGCGGCCCTGGATACACAAGAAATAGAATGAAACTGCTTTCTTACTTTGGCTATTGCAGAGTTTTGATGTTGGCTTTCAAAGCTGGTGATTGTGTTGTCGGAGATTTTAGCAAACTAGAAACGCAGCGCGGGGAGCTCACCGATCTCTTGGGAGTTCCCATACGTCTTTGTCTCACAAGAGGGATCAGTGATTGGACAACGTCTGTGATAAGAGGCCTATAGTCCGGCTCCGGTTGAACACACATTGCAGCGATTGCAGCAACCTGCACGACAAATTAAGCTATATGCTGCCACTACGTTTTACTTACTTGGACGAGCTCTTTCATGTTGTATTGACTCCTAAGATATGGATCCACCATTTGCGCCAGCTTTTCTCTATCAGTGAGCCGTGGAAGAGCCTGCACTATTTAGTTAGTTGAGAAACATAATGTATGGTGGGAGCAGCTCACCCAATTAACGAGCACGTTTTGTCCCGGAGGGCGCTTCGCATCGACTGGAAGCCTCCCAGTTATGAGCTCCAAGAGAACAATCCCATAACTGTATACGTCGGACTTTGTTGTCAAGTGGCCTGTCATGGCGTACCTGCAACCATATCAAAGGCAATCAAGTTGTTACAACTTGCACCAAGATTTGAATCTGGATTCTGGTAACACTTACTCGGGTGCGAGATAGCCCTGAGTTCCAAGAACTCGTGTAGAAGGTTGGCCCGCAATTTTATCAGCCCCGGTCTTTGCGAGGCCAAAATCAGCCAGCACGACATCGTTGTGTTCATCCAGAAGAATATTGCTGCTCTTGAAGTCACGGTGGATGATTGGAGGAATGACATACTCGTGTAGGTATTCCAGTCCCTTGGCAGCATCAAATGCTACTAGGATTCGTGTTCCCCAGTCTAAAGTGCTTTTTCCTTTTAAAGTTCGACATGTCAAGGATGATAGGACTGTTAAAAGCATTCACCTTTGGAATGCAGATGTTCCTGAAGGCTTCCATTTGCCATGTAGCTATAAACGAGCAGCCTGTAGTCCTTGTCTGCACAGTATCCTATTAAATCCAGCAAGTATGGAGAATGGAGACGAGTAAGCATATCCACCTGTGTTTCAGTAGAAGTCAGTTTGAAGAACAGTTCAGGACAGCTTACCTCGACCCTGAATTCTCGTTCGCCTTGTTTGCCTTGCCTGTCCATGAGCTTTACTGCAGCAAGTCTGCCGTCCGGTAAAACCCCGCGATAGACCAGTCCAAAACCGCCATGGCCAATTTTGTTTAACGGGCTGAAGTTGTTGGTTGCAGACTGGAGCTGCTTGTAGGTGAAAACTTGTGCTTTCGACACCTCTTCTCGTTCGCTGCGAATGTAAGTGTCCATACTGTTTTTGCTTCCCTCTGAAATCACAAAAGCCCATCAAAAACCCATCACAAAAGAACAAATATGGAAAAATACTACACCAAATGGCAACAAGAATGAAGAAAACTTTGAGCAGAAACAGAGCAAGGGAAAAATACTAAGAATGAGAACTTACTTGCACTGAAAGTTCTTCTCGTCTTCAATTTGTGCCTCATGTAGAAGAAGTAAGCGAACGCTAGGAGAAGAACAAAGAGGGCCAGGGACGAAGTGATAATGGAGATGATTATCGCAATGCTGGTCCTGTTGCTGCTGCTATCGCCCGCATCACTTGTGCCATTACTAGGAGCTATCCCCGTCGCGGATTCAATGTCTGTCGAAGAGTTCTGGAGGAGAATCCTCCTGTTCACCATTGTCTTTCCTCTTGCTCTCTGCTTCTTTTCCTTCTTTGTTGGTTTTCGTTCTTCAACAATGTAGATAGCCTGGTTAACCAAACCTTTTAGCCATAGCAAGGTAATTCAACTAGTAACAGCTTGAACAAGGCAGAGGAAAACTAAAACGAAAACAGATGGACACAGGAAAAAGAACTCAACTCGAACAGCATTTTTATTCTCACAGGAGCAGGAGCAGCAGGACCAGAGTATCAGGCCTTTAGTCATCGAAAGATTTGTTTGTAATGCAGCGGACTCAGGAGAAAGAGGAAGCTAGGACCCCTACCTAAGCAAGACTCCAAACATCCAGGTGAAGGTACAAAATGCCAGTACCTCATTGAATTCAGAAGGATCAGGTTAAAAAAAAAGTCTGGAAATTCAGGAACAGTAACAGTGCCTGCACGAGGACAAGGCGGAACGCAAAAATCATAAGAACCGCCAACAATCAATCAAACAAACAAACCTTATCGACGAGCGAGCAGGTCCCGACACGGCTTAACAGTGACTGGCCAGCGGCTGCCACGAGTAGCCGTTGATTGACACCGTCCAACGGCTATCGCGCTGCTCTTCACCGTCGGATACCGTCAACTTGGATGTCCCAATCCTCGACTTAATGGGAAAATGTCAATGCTCGTCACTGTATCTCCGCATCGTGGCCATGCTCTGCCACTGCTTCCAAGCATCCCGTAAGTTTGCAAACTCCAAGTCATCAATCCGGTTGAGTTCCAGTGACTCTAGCCACTGAGACCAAGGTGCCTCCTCTTCGTTCATAGATGAAGAGATCACCGGAGCTAGCTTCTCAAGCCAGAACGAGTTCATCCGCTCTGCGATTTGACTTGACACCTGTATTCCCAGTTTGGAGAAGAAATATCCGCCAGTTCCCCCCTTAGCACGAGTGTAACCTCCTCTGAACGGGAAAAAGGAGTTACCGGACAGTACGAGCCCGTGTGGTGGTGCAAGCGGTAACACAACTCTTGCATGCCGGCACGTAGAAACTGGAATGGCGTCCTCTGGCAGGACATGTCGAAAGACAGCAATGGCAGTCCCGACCATTTTCCGAATCTGAAAGAAAATCATGGAAGTTAAGTCATCGAACGTCCGGAGAGCATTTTTACCTGGTGGACCATGAATGATTCGCCTGTAACTCTTATACGTACAACCGACGAAGGACAATTGAGCTTTTCAGGTCCTTCGCAAGTGCATTTCGCAACGTTTCTGAAGTGCGAGGCTTTTACAGGATCTTTGCCTTCTTCCGATTCATCTAGCCAGTAAGCCCGTCGACCCGCACCCCGTTCCTCTCCTATGTCAGCAGCTGGGTTGTCCTGCTCGTCGTGTGTATCCTTGAAAGAAGGTTCCTCGTCTTTTGATGATTCTTCGTCGGCAATTAAGTTTCTAGACGGAGAATATGTCCCTCGCCTCTGGGATTTTCTGTAGAGGCGCCTGACAGTGTAATTGTGAAACGCGTGCCTGCCCTGATCAGAAAAAATGCACTTGGCCATGAGAAAACAACACAAAAATAAAAAGAACCTCTAGAGATTTCAACGTACGCCTAAAATACTGAATCCGCTGGTCGACATCTTCACTGGATGACTCGTTATTTATGCCAATGCAGGCAGCAGGAAAGTAGTAATCATATGTTCTGGAGTAGCAGGACCTTCTGGCATCAAAGGATCTGTAAACAGAAAGCCACACCAATGTATAAAATGCAAGAGCAAAATCTTTTCTACGAACTTGGTAACAGGAACAACTCCAAATATTGATATGTTCGCCGGGAGGTAGGCATTGAAAGCGTCGGCAATCTTAATGCCGTCAACGTCATTCAGCCACGAATTCACAGCAACCTCGAGCTTCATGGTGACCACAGTGCATAAAGAATGGACCTGCGCTACATCAATCATAAAAGAAAAAGTTCCCAAGATTGCCAACGAGATACTTACGCCTTTGTCTGTCCTGCTGCTTCTCTTCCACCTGACTTTGTCAAGGTGTCTGTAGTTTTCCTCGGAAATCCCCCCAGCTTTGTATATTGCTTCTTCGAGCTCGTTTTCAACAGCTATAGAAGAGATGAGTAATGTGGAGGAAGAGATAAAATAAACTTACAATGGGTACCGGCGACTCCTCGCTGGATCTGCAAGCCTGTTCACGCAAGTAACACATTGAAAGAAACAGCCAACACGGTACCTTTGTAATCCGTTCCCACATATCCCACCCAGATCGCCACATTCTTCTTGAATCGCAGCACCTCATCCACAGCGGCGAGCTTGCAAACCGCGGCGCCAGATTCCGCGCCACGCCCTGCGAGAGACTCGCCCTAGCTCATCCTGCCCTAGCTCAATCAAGCACGGCATACCTCCCAATACGCAAATAGGTACCATGGCCAGGTTTTAGGGCTTTCCCGCCCAGCGTTTAAAATTTAATTAAACAGAGATTAGTTAACAATGTTGCTTTGTCGTGTGAGAAAAATCTTGGATGTAACAAAAGGAAAAAATATAAAGAATGTTGGACGAACTTACTGCCAGTATTGTTGTGCCGGCGCTGGAGCATTTCCCGCGATTGTCAATGCCTGTGTTTTCCTATCCACCTCGCTCGCGAGCGATGCATCGCTGTGATCATCTTCCTCTGTCCTGCTCGATCCTTGGGCTGGAAGACAGGTGCTGGAGATGCTAGCACACTTCATGAACCGCTTGCCTTCGATCACGTTCTTGCCGTAGTTCCTAGGAGCTGCGACAATCCATTGAAAAGATGAGTGAATGGTAGCTCAAACTCGACTGTACCTTGCTGCTGGTCTTGCGTTTGAGATGATCGAGACGATGCTAGCGCGTGTTGTTCCCGGACGAACCTAGCAGCCTCCTCCCGAAACTCCAGACCCCGTTCCCTGAAAGAAAGTAGAATTTAATGGCTAGCAGCTGAAAGAGACCACCAACCTTGGCAAAGAAGCATGCTGTCTTTCCAGGGGTACCATCGCGTTACCCTTCGCGTAATGCTCCTCCAGATGGGCAAACTGTCTTCGAAACTGGTCAACAGCACTGCAAACAAAATGGAGGTGTCCGAAACTTAAGAATAAAACCAGAAAGTAAAAGGAAGCGTTAAAACGGTGTGGAACCTTGGGTACATGAAGTTTGCTTGGTCGTTGCCGTTCACATACTCCATCTTCATCTGCGGATGGTATTCCAATATCTGCGAAGCAGTGCTCAAAGACTCGAATCGACAATCATGCGTTACCTCGCGATATATGAGCTCCCTGACGTCTTCCCTTGTCAGTCTTCGTCTTTCGAACTCGAATTCCATCCTTGAAATCGGGTTGGCAGCAGGCTCTCGCTGTAAATGAGACATACTTTGAAAATAGGGGTCCGCGAGGGCCTGAAAGTCAAGCTCTCTCGTCAGCATAACTTGCTCGGAAGTCAAACTATACTTAACCTCCGTAGCAGACGGCCGATCTTTCGGATCAAAAGCAAGCATCTTCTGTAAGAGGTTACGTGCTAGAGGGTCTATATTCTTGAACTTCTCAGAGAACGGAACGGGGCTCTTTTTGCTCATTGTGCTCAAGTATCTCCGTGCTTTCTCATTGCGAACCTGTAATGAATCGTTTCTAACATTTGACCAAGAATGAAATCGAATGAGAATTTCTAACCCGAGAAATGACATCCTGTGACGGCGTTCCGAGCAAGTCAGTGATGAGTTCGAGCTGATGAGTAACGTTCTTTCCAGGAAACAGTGGCTTCCGAGTGATTGTCTCAGCAAATATGCAACCAATGCTCCATATGTCGATTGCTGGAGTATACTGCATACAAGAGATCACTTGGCGTCAGAAAAAAATGAACCAATATCCTCTTACCCTCGAGAAAAAGGAACCGCAAAGCTCAGGAGCTCGATACCACCTGGTGGCTACATAATCCTAACACAATGAAATCACATCTTTCAGTTGCAGTACCCGCTGAAACTGGGCGACTTGAATGCACAAGTGGCCAGCCTTTGGCATTTCCTCAAGTCCTCTCGAACTGTTCAACAGACGTAGAAGTTTACAAGGCTCTGTTTCATTCGAAACTGATTTCCTTTCCGTTCTTAGTTTACATGCATGGATGCAACACAGAATGCACAAAGTCCTAAGGCATACCGTCCAGAATATGGCCGTGGGAGCGTCGTTAAACGCCACTCGGGCGAGTCCAAAATCGCATATCTTTAGCTTACAGTTAGCGTTGGCTAGAACGTTCTTGGGCTTTAAGTCCCGATGGAAAACGTTCGCTGCAACACACGCGAGGGAAAACAATTTCAGAGACAATCATCTCGAGGAGAGAAAATCATACCCGTGTGGATGAACTTCAACCCTCGTAGCAACTGGTAGAGGAAAAACTGGTAGTGCTCGGGCATGAGATCATCGTTGGCTTTGATCACTTGGTGGAGGTCCGACTCCATGAGCTCAAACACCACGTAGATATCCTTGAATTCTCGCCTCGATGGCGGAAGCAGTATGTGCTTGATCTCCACAACGTCCGGATGGCGCAGCAGTCTGAGCAGCTTGATCTCGCGGAGGATGCGCGTTGCATCGGACACATGCTCGAAGATGTCGTTGATCTTCTTAATCGCCACCTTTTCGTTGGTCCTGGTGTCGATCGCGGAGCACACGACGCCATAGCTGCCCTTCCCAATCACCTCCAACACCTTGTAACGCTGCGCCTCGCCGTATTCCGTGATGAAATTCGCGACACCGCTCTGGACAGCAATCTTTCACCGATATTCCGATCACGCAAAGCACGTACCTTGCGCCGGTGCTCCCCCGCTTGCATTCTCAGCCCGGAATTCTCACGCGGCCACCTCCCCACGCAAAATCACCATCTATCGCCGCCGGAAGAACCCTAGCAATGCCGCGATCGCAAGCGCGCGACGCACATTCCCCGGCAAAGCATCGATCGATCGCCCCGCCGCCCGCAGCTCCTCCCAGCCAAGGCGCCGCGCTAACTCTCGCTTTTACCCTAGCCGAAAGGATAGTCGACAGGGAGAGCTTCATAGCATCCGGCCGTACAGGGGCATATTCGCGCCGGACGCGCGGGAATCGAGCATCGGCTTTTGCGCGGCAGGGAATCGAACCCCCGACCGGACATCGTAATTAGGTGTTGGATTGACGAGCAAAGTATAGCCACAAAGGCATTGTGTGACCCACCAGGAGCCACACAAGAGAACAAGGAGGTGGCCACTGTGAGTAGAGCACCTCTCCCAGCAGCGGTTACATCAGTGCTGGAGAAAAAGAAAGAAAGAGAAAGGAAGGAAAAAGAAAAAAAAAAAAGTGGAGAAGGAAGACAAAGAGGGATAGCATCTCTGGGGCAAAATTCTCGATGGATCGATCCTTGCCCTAGAGAGAGCTAGAGGGATGATCAATGGCTTCTCTATCTATGCCCTAAACGTGTACTGTAGCAGAGGGGGTGAGTAAGCAGCAATGGCACAGGAAACCCGGAGAATTGGAGGGCGAGAGGTTTGTCGCGAGCTTCTTTAGGTAGTGGTTTTTTTTTTGGGGGTCTTTTCTTTTTTTTCCTTTCTCGTCTGATCCATCCACACACGCACTGCGGCTGGGTTGCTTTCGTGTCCGAATCACAGCAGTCGGGAATTGAGGAGCAGCCAATTCGAATGTCCTGATTGGGATTCCCGGAAGGAGGAGGAGGGATCGATGGTGGATCTGTGCGAGAGGAGAGATGGAATAGCGAAGAGGCATCCAAAGGAAGAGGACAGGGTAGCCTATGGTAGAGTGGCGCTTCTCCATCCTCTCCCTCTCTCTCTCTCTCAATCTATTTCTCTCTCTTCTCTCTCAATGCTCGAGGAGCTTCCGGAATGTCAATGCAACTTGCGCTGGATCGGAGGCAAATGGGGCAACTAGGCAGCGGCAGCGACGAGGAGGGATCTAGCGCGAGCGAATCGAGAGAGCGGGAGTGGTGGGCGAGGGATTCTTCCATTTCCTGGCGAGGGGTTTTCTTTTAGATCGTCTTGCCCGATCGATCCGGGGCCATTCTGGATCGGGAGCGAGGTGGGCGGCGGGGGATCGGAGGGATCCGTGGTGGGTTCTCGAGGATTCGTGGGAATTCACGAGGTTTGGATTGGCGGGGAGCCGAGGCGCGCGGGTGGCGACAAGGGGACGTAGGAGTCAGGGGGGAACAGGGGCAGGGCTTGGAAATAGAAGCAAAGGATAAACAACGAGCATAGCTCTATCTTCTCTTTCGCGCGAGGCGATCTCTCTCCCTCCCTCTCTCTCGCGCGCGACGACGGCGACCACGAATCCCCTCCTCCTCGAGAGACGTGTCGGTGGAGCTAATCAATCCATAGCCATAGCTCCATGATATCACGGCTGAGGTAAGACCTCCGATCCAGCGAGTTTGGCCGAGCACCACGCGACGATGCCAATGCTCGCGCCAGCGATCCGGCGGGGGCTAGCGGTCGTGGGCCTGGGAAGCAAGGATAGCAGCGGCGGTGGCACGGAGTCGCCAGAGGCGGATTTGACGCCTCCCGGATCGTCGGAGCTCAAGCGCAGCCTCCGCAAGGGGCTGGCGGCCGTGGGGCTCGGCCCCAAGGAGCAGGACACCTCGCCATCGCCGCCCGTCACCTCCGCGCTGCCTCCGCAAGAGGAGATCCTCAAGCAGCGGATTTGCGAGCTCGAGGAATCGCACGCGCGGCTTACCACTGCCTTGATCCATGTTATCAACAACGCGCCGGAGCCCGTGCTCGGCACTCTGGAGCCGGTGCTCGAGACGCTCGATCCGTCCATCCTTCCGCCAAAGCAAGCGTCGGGCTCCGACCAAGGGAGCCGCGAGTCGTCCGTCAAGGACGTGGATTCGCCGGTTCTACTACCGCCGATCGACACCACCTCCGAGGCCAGCCCGGTGACCGCCCCAGTGGATTTTATCACTGTCGAAGGGAGTGGTGGTGGTGGCGGTGGTGGTGGCGGTGGTGGCGGTGGTGGCGGCGGTGGTGGCAGCGGTGGCAATGAAGGTGGTGCTGGCGGCGATGGAAGTGATTTTCTATCGGCCTCGAGGAAGATGCTTCCCAAGCACTTTGGCAACGTCTTGCAGTCCATGGGACAGGCCGTGTACATCTTCACTCCCTCTGGCGAGGTGACATACTGGTGAGTTCTTCGCAAAGGTTGGATGGATTTTTCGAGAGCTTTTGCCAACTTCGCTTGCTTGCTTCTTCCCAAAGTTTGGATTTTGCGAGAGCTCTGCCAACTTCTCTTGCAAAGTTTGTATTTTTTTCTAGAGCTCTGGCAACTTTTCTTTCTTGTTCTTTGGCAGGAACCACGCCGCGGAGCTTCTTTTTGGGTGGAGCGAGGCCGAGGCGGTGGGACGCAAGGTGTCCGAGCTCATTGTGGAGCAGTCGGCTCAGGGGTTCTTGTCGGAGCTGGTTGCGCGGCTAGGGAATGGCGAGTCGTGGACGGGCCAGTTCCCGCTCAGGAAGAAGAACGGGGAGGTTTTCACCGCCTCGGTCTCGGACAATCCGTTCTATGACGACAATGGTGTGCTCATGGGCATCGTCGGCGTGGCCCACGACGTACGTATGCTCCAGGAGCAGCCGAATCCACTGGCGGCTCCTCGAGAGAACTGGGAAGATCTGGAGAAGCAGCACAAAAAAACTCCGTTTCCGTCATCGATCTCTCAGTTGGTACGAGTGATGCTTTCCAAGTTGAGATCTTTCTGTTCTTACTTTCGGTTTCCTTCCTTGCCAGGCTTCTAAAGTTATGTCAAAGTTGCGAGTGAACGACAACAGCGACGATCGAGAAGGTGGCAGCAATGGCAGCCAGAAATCCCACGAAGAATCGCCCGGTGACAAGGAAAGGCACGACTTCCAGTCTCCGCCAGGGAGCGGGCCATCGCCAACCAAAAACTCCTCGAGACAGCAGCAGCAGCTCGATTCGGACGGAAGTCCCCACGGCGAAGAGAACCGCTGGAACGGTGCTCGGAGAGCTCTGAGCAACAAGGCCGAGACGTGGATGGCGAAGAAAGGAATAAGCTGGCCGTGGAACTCTCCTCCGGATTACAGTGACTCGTCGGACTCAAGCGTGAAGAAGAACAACATCATCTGGCGACTCGTGAAAAAGCCGAGAGATCATGAAAGCGGAGAGAACAGACCGAGGTTCGGGCATAGCCACAGCACCCCTCCCAGGCTCTACAACCCCGGCAGCCATGATCCGGAGGAGTTCGTCGGAAGTGGTGCCAGTGGACGAAGCAGCGAGTCGAGCTTCCAAAGTTTGAACCATTCGGGAGTGGAGGACGCGGAGGAGATTCGCTGGGAGGAGCTCACGATCCGCGAGCTGATCGGACAGGGTGAGTGTCAAAGTTTGATCGGTCAAGTCTCTCTTTCTTTGCTTTTTTCCGCTGAGAGTGTGCTTGGCTTAACAGGCTCCTGTGGATCCGTGTACCGTGGAATGTGGTGTGGCTCTGTAAGTGCGCTTTTGTTTTCTAAAAGTTTGAGCTTTCGTCACTCGTGATTGTCTTTCCAGGACGTCGCTGTCAAGGTTTTCTCCGAGCGTGGATTTTCTCCAGCTCTTCTGGATGATTTCCGCAAGGAGGTGGCGATCATGAGGAAAGTCCGCCACCCGAATGTGCTGCTGTTCATGGGAGCCGTGGCGACGCCGGACAATCTCTGCATTGTCACCGAGTTTCTTCCTCGGTGAGATTCGATCTTATCCTTCGTGTTTCCATTTCTTCCGTTCTGGATTGTGACCGGAAGTTTGTGGTCGTGGCAGTGGAAGTTTGTTTCGCTTGTTGCATCGGAAAACTCCTGGATTGGATCTGAGGCGCCGACTGAGAATGGCTTTAGACATTGTAAGTTGATAGATCTTTCTTCTCTCCTTTTCTCTTGAGAGTGACTTGGTAATGACAGGCACGAGGAATGAATTATCTTCACCACTGCAAGCCTCCAATCGTTCACCGCGATCTCAAGTCCTCGAACCTCCTCGTGGACAAAGATTGGACCGTCAAGGCGAGATTTTTTTCCTCCTCTCCCTTTCCCGGGGTCTCATTCCATTGATCTTCCAAAATGTAGGTGGGGGACTTTGGTCTTTCGAGGCTCAAGCATGCAACGCTTTTGACAACAAAGTCAGGACGCGGGACTGTAAGTTCTTCTCTCTATTTTCGAGCTTTTCTCTAAAACTTTTCCTCTGGCAGCCACAATGGATGGCGCCGGAAGTGCTGAGAAACGAGCCTTCTGACGAGAGGTTTGCATCGAATCAAATTCTTTCTCTTGTTCATGGCTGGATCGAGAAATAATCTTCTGGTTGTCGCTGTTTCTAGAGCCGACGTCTACAGCTTTGGCGTGATTGTCTGGGAGCTCGCCACGGAACAAGTTCCCTGGGACGGAATGAATCCCATGCAAGTAAGTTCTTCCTAAACTCTCTCAAGAACACGGACTTCTACTCTCCAAAACAGGTTGTGGGAGCTGTGGGATTCATGAACCAACGATTGACAATCCCTCCAAACACAGACCCGGGATTCACTGCTCTCATGGAACAATGTTGGCAAAGGTAGACTCCAATTTTTATCTCCCCAATCTCACAGATCTCTCTCGTACTTCCTCCAGCGATCCCAAAGCGCGACCCTCTTTCGAGGAGATCATTGCCAGGATCCGCGAATTGCTAGCACAAATAGCGGGATCGGCATCGAAGTCACAGTCGAATGCTAGCGAAGAATCGACCGCACAGAGTTGAGAGAAGAAGCGCTTGTGTATAGCTAAAAGGTGTATATTTGATATGCTTTTTGGTGTCATATTCTTTCGTTAAAACCTCTTAACAACAGGGAGCTTTAGGGCTCGTCGGTGTAAGCTAGGTGTAAGCTAGGTCTAGGGTATTGTCGTGTGGCGGAGCGAGCGCGCCATGGCGCCGGGAGGAGGGGGATTGGCGCCACTGCACTGAGAGCTGCTGATTCCTGGCAGCATTCCCGGGGGCGATGGCGCAGAGCAACGGGAAGAAGTATCTGGGTGTTACTGAGCCTATCTCCACTGCCGGGCCGACGGAAGCTGATTTCGCAAGAACGCGCGATCTTGAGAAGGTTAGCTTGAGTCGATTTGTGAGAGGGATGTTTTGGCCTTCTTTCTTCCAGGTTTTGACTGAGGCTGGATTGTATGAGAGCCCCGAGGAGGCGGTTCAGCGTGAGGAAGTTTTGGGAAGGCTTGACCAGGTTTGAGACTCTGCATTGATTTTTCTTGCTTTTTCTTTCTCGGGATTGTATCTGAGATGGAGTGTGTGTGTTTCTTGCAGCTTGTCAAGGAATGGGTGAAGAATATTTGTCTTAGGAAGGGATACAGTGAGCAGGTCACTCAAGAAGCCAATGCCAAAATTTTTACTTTTGGTTCTTATAGATTAGGAGTAAGCTTTTCTGCCGCTCTTGTGTGTTGGAGAGTAACCAGCTTATGCTTCCCAGGTACATGGACCGGGTACCGATATAGATACACTTTGTGTTGGTCCTCGTCATGTGAGCAGAGAGGTGAGTTTTTCTCTCCTTTTGCTTTGTACATCCAATTCTTAACTTTGGCTCGTTGCTTTTGTATAGGAGGATTTTTTTGGTGTCTTTCATGGAATGTTAGAAGCTATGTCCGAAGTGACGGAGCTTCATCCAGTCCCGGACGCTCATGTTCCAGTTATGAGATTCAAATTTAGCGGAATAAGCATTGATCTCTTGTATGCTCCGCTTGCGGTGTGGACGATTCCGGAGGTGAGAAACTTCGATTTTTACAATCTTTTCTAATACAGTTTGTGCACAGGACTTGGATATTTCGCAAGAGTCCATACTTCGGAATTTGGACGAGCCGAGTGTCCGCAGTCTCAATGGCTGCCGTGTCACAGACCAGATATTGCGATTGGTTCCAAATATTGAGGTATCTGGTTTTTTTCTCCTCTGTTATAATGTCAATGAGCTTTCAACTAGCGGTAGTTCCTTTCAGCATTTTCGGACTACGTTGCGGTGCATGAAGCTGTGGGCCAGGAAGCGCGGCGTCTATTCGAATGTAAGTGTGGCGCTCTTTTTTCGAGTTTGATTCTTCCACTTCGCATGTAGGGCATCACTGTTAGAGATGCGGTTGTGAACAAGGACATGATTTTTTAGTTCCATGAGGCAGAGGAGACACAAGCTTGCTCTCTGCAGCCATGGAAAGATAGTACTGCAAACTCTATCGACTTATGAATTCTACGCAGGTGACAGGATTTCTTGGGGGTGTGAACTGGGCATTACTTGTTGCGAGAATCTGCCAGCTTTACCCGAACGCTCTTCCGAGCATGCTGGTGTCACGGTTTTTCCGGGTTTACACACAGTGGCGGTGGCCCAATCCTGTAATGCTGTGCGAAATAGAAGAAGGTTCACTGGGCCTAAGTGTTTGGGATCCGCGGAAAAATCCTCGTGACCGGACTCATCAGATGCCGATTATAACTCCTGCTTATCCTTGCATGAACTCGAGCTATAATGTTTCTTCGAGCACGCTCCGAGTCATGGTCGAGGAATTCAGTCGTGCAAATGGCATCTGTGAGGTACGTATGATTTTTCTTTTCTTGTGCACCGTGACACTGGATCCTCGCAGGTGATTGAAATGAATAAAGCTGAATGGAGTGCGCTTTTTGAGCCTTACGCTTTCTTCGATGCCTATAAAAACTACTTGCAAATCGACGTCTTTGCTGCAGACAACGATGATCTCCGTAGATGGAAGGGCTGGGTCGAGTCACGGCTCCGACAACTCACGCTCAAGGTTGGGCTTGACCAGAAACTTTTCTCCTTTTGAAATCTAATACTTTAAATGCAGATCGAGAAACATACGTATGGCATGCTCCAATGCCATCCACATCCTTGCGACTTTGTGGACGAGTCTAAAGAAGGAAAGCACTGCGCGTTCTTCATGGGGTTGCAAAAGAGACAGGGCCTTCCATCACAGGAAGGGCAGCAGTTTGATATTCGTCTCACGGTAGAGGAGTTTAGGCAGTCCGTGACTGGGTATCAGTTGTGGAAGGAAGGAATGGACATAGCAGTGTCGCATGTCCGCCGGAGACAGATTCCAGCCTATGTTTTCCCTGGTGGAACAAAGCCAGCTCGGCCTCCGAAAGTAACTGGAACCGGAAGGCTGGTTGGAACGAACTCGCTCCCGACGGAACTTGACACACCACCTCTGAAGCGTAAGCTGGACTTGGAGACGACCCCTCCCGAAGGCTCCAGGCCCCTGCGACGTACTAATACCGGCGTTTCGGAAGCTGGAAGCTGTCAAGCTCCCGCAAAGCCCGAGAAGCAGGAAGCATACGCGGATGCAACGCCAGCTACGTTATTGAGGCCGGATGCGAACGCAGCAAATTTTGGATTTCCAGAAATCCAACAGAATGGACCGGGCTCGGCAGCTGTACAGGCTAAGCAGACGCAGCCGCCAACTTTCGTATTTCAACAAACCGTCGCACCTTTGGAGGAGCTAGAGGTCTCTTTTTCTCTTCTTTTGCT